TGAGTATAGATAGTCTCTCACTAGCCTGTCGCGGGCATCAACCAATCCGGCCTCTCGTTGGGCTCCCGGCTAGGATCTGAAACAAGGAAAAAAATGCAGACTAACCAAAAGCATTTTCTGGGCAGCAGTGTGTGGGAAAAGAAAACACAACGGATAGCAGCTGGCAAAGCGTTTTTAACTGGATGGTCACCAGGACCGCACGCCCCGAGAAACCTGGAATCTATCTATCTCTCGATTTACCAAGCGTTAACTGAAGGTAGAAAATCACCAAAATTTACACCTTTGACTCCAATATTCTTTTTCTCTTCGCGCTTTTACAAGGTAACACAGTACGGCCGTACCGGTTAGAGGTTAACAATACAAGCTCCAAAGGACTCGTACTCTCAAAGCTAATCGAAATGAAAATGCATGCCCGGCCAGCCGTTAATATTGATTCGCCTTGTAAAGAGGTGCGTGCGAAGGAAACGTCTAATGATCATTGATCTAACTTGAATATGCACTTAGTATCCCATATGCCATTCACTATTGTACATGCAAAGTATGCATTCTCTGTCGTAAATATCACATTTGGGGAAAGGCTGGCTATATATAGGTGAGGCTTGGATTTTACAGATACTAGGAAAAAGAAAAGGGTTTCGTGTCAAAAGTCGCACGCCTATTAATCACATATTTCGGGGTTGGAGCTTGTGTTCCTGGTATTCAGATTGATAATTGTTATCGCCCTATATCATTGCAGGTCGGCTCCTAGCTTCAGATCAGACCGGATATGATATGCATGGTGCAATAAAACTCCTCTAAGTTCGATTGGGTTAGAGATTTCTCTCGATTTATGGTAAACTCATGATCAACTAGCTAGTCAACGCAAACAACTAGATATCCCTAGATCCCATGCTCAAGATCTGCTTATAATATCGAAAGAGAAAAAACAAGCACGCGACACGCTAATCACATTAAGATGCCCATATCAGCCCCACCAATAGGCAATTCCCCGAAAGCCGTTTCTATATTTTAGGTCCGAACTCTAGATCTCCTGGATGAAACGGCACAATGATCCTCTGTTGATAATAGTATACCGACCACCCAAGAACCGTCGATTGAGACAGCGCAAAACTGAAGAATGAACGTACGGAGAGCTTCATTCCAAAGGCGTGGAAAGATGGAATGCGTGGCCAGAAGAAGCCCCTTGCATTGTCACTTGAACAATTTAGACGGCTTGTACATGTCATCTAGATTCCAACGATAATGTTTCCATTATGCTGGGTACCTGGTTATGACACCCCCGTTATTACATCTAAAAAGGCTCTAGCGTTTGCTACTGGTTCAAGTGTTTACTTTCAATTTTAGGGTGCCCTCTCAATTGACGATGTAAAAAGAGGTCTGTGAAATCCTTACCACTTAACCTTTTTAACCTTTTTAACAGGAACTGTGTTGATCTGTCGGAGATTTTACAGCGGTCATGAGGATGCCTACTTCTCCACTGCATATGATCTCCGGGTTATACCGAGATTTTTGCATTTAGCTTATTACGCAAAATTACTCAATCAATATATTGACCCAATGACCACTACTTCGGGATACGCCACGGAAGTAGGTTACTGTATCCAGCGCGATTTATATGAAACTATGAGCTAGAAGAACACCACGTCCGACGCGAAAGGCAGTGTGAATCATACTAGTTTCTCATAAAAGAATATGTCGCTTTAAAAACAAGGATGGCTCTAGACCTAAAGTTCGAGATCTACAAGTTCTAGCTCCTGAACTATTGATATCCATATCGGAACAATCGTCGCTTATTGGCCATTTTCTATATAAGACCCACAAAAAGGAATTTATTGACATCATCCTGGAGATCTAATACATCCCTCAACCTAGATCATAAACGTGGCGAAGGTATAGCTCGGAAGGTATGCATTTTCAGACGTTAACCGGTTCATTCACTGTCTTCACTTCCCAGATCTGGGTACCTATAATATGATGTTTTATGATGTGATGAAATATCTCAATAATACTAGCTGAAACCCCTAGCTCCCCTTGCGTAGATAGTATGCTATCTGTAGTGATATTCTTGCAGATCGATGTGATTTTATAATTATACAACGTATAGATGTTGATCAATTTCAATGAAGGATTCAAGTTGGGTAAAAAAGACAGGGTTAGTACGTAATCACAGAATATCACTCGCTCGTTTTATAGTTTCCTTTACATTTACAAAACGAGGCATGGTGCGTTTACCAGCGGGTTAACTGGACAAGTGACTCCAACTGAAGTAGTTTAAAGCCCTTGTATCTCATACGAAAACTCTGCATGGTTCCAGTTGCGTGGTACACCAACTCAATGTCGAACAGATAGGTAATAATAGTATGAGATTAGCCAGCGGAGAACCTAGTTAGAATAGACACTCAAGCCCGTGGGTATTCTTAGAATAAGGAAAAAGAAATCGTCTGTGTCTCAACTATGCTGTGGCATTCTCCATTGTAGAATAATCGCTGCAATACCTAATTAGCTAATGCTAAAATGTATAATATTAACAGCCATCAAGCTTCTGCACTACAATAACCAAATGCCTGCCAAGAAGCTGGTCGATCTGTCATCAAGCTTAAGCCAAACGGTTGCTTTGAGTTTTAAATTCCAAGGAATGGCCAAACACTTAATATCAGGCCATACATGTATCTCAAGTCACATTGTATTGTGGGTGCCAATATTGCCCCCGTGACCTTCAAATGGCCTTCAAATCTTTAGTCTATATATATGGAAATGGATTAGTTATCAATTTTACACTTTAACTTTCCGCTGTGTATTGCATCGTAGGAAATGTGCTTTCTGATGCCCGCAAAAAAAAACTGGGGGACATGAATCAATTTATAGTGTAAAAACGAATCATTAAATGAATTATAAGGTGCATAGCCTGTTGCTTTTCTTCACACTTTACCCATATAACCCACCACGCGAGGTACCGGCCTTCCAACTGAGCCCCGGACAACCCTTTTCTCGACACTTTTCCGCATATTTTGTTTCACCCTTTATTGTGCACTATTACCCTCGCAGCGGTGCGTCAATGACCATTACTCCAATGTGTGAGGAAACCATCTCTGGATATAATATATATTTCTACATAAAAGAAATTCCACGAAGTGAAATAAACTAGCTGTTGGACAAATAAAACTACATTGGTTTATCCTAAAAGTTTATCTAACACCCTAGATATTTCAGCGTTGAAAATCTCTACTTGTAGTAGATACGATACATGAACGTCTCCAGTAGGCTTTTCGGCTGCCGACCGGATCTTGGGACGAGCCCCGTACATCACGGGCGTAAGGAGACTCCCTGAGCTTAATGATATGAGGTCATGTGCGCCGTCCCAGGTTCCCATAGCTGTACTTAAGATAGTTCGTTGATCAAACGTAATATTAATATATTGTCTTAATTATACAAGGAATTCGAAGTACATACATCTACATTCGAGGAAGATGACGAGAAAGGTAGTAAAATGCAATCAATCAAAAGATCTTAAGACCAAGTTCAATATACTCTGGAGCAAGCGCGTTGTCGCGCACGCGGGTGTTCCTATGCGCATATATACTACATGTACTTAACCCTCACACACATGATCTGTAGTTACTATTATATTAGTATATTACTAGCTAGATTCATCATCATGAATCTCTACCAGCTCTAGCTCTACAATACCACATATAAATTAAAATTGCAATCCGAAGAGGTACATAAGTAAAGTCTCCTCTATCATTTTTTCCGCGCTAATGTGGTAACCTTAAATTCCAGCGTGTCGATGATCATTAGCGCTATAGGCGCGCGCACTAGATGCTATATATATAGTAGCCGATGGATTAACTATTACATTTATTATTATATAATGTTAGCTACAGGCTGGGCGGAGCTGTAATCAATATTTCGGTTAGTATTCAGTGAAGACCTACTATGTAATCTACTAGCTCTGTATTAAAAAACATATCAATCTTATGATCATCAAAAGCTGTAAATTCCAAATTGTTCGTCATTTTCTTATTGAGCGGGGTTACCAGATTATGTTAAGAAGGTGCGAATATCATAGCCAGAAGGCGTTTAATTCAATCAATCATTATGTTGGTCACCAGTTATCACTCGATAGCACGCCGAGTTATTTTTTGGGCATTATATCTAGTTAGAACTAAGTACTATATAAGTAATCGTAAATAAATACTGTTTAGTAGATCAGCCTCTATTAATGGATACGTGGAGTTGTTGGGCGGATAGAATCAAGCATCATAGCATGTATAGATTGGCCAATTGGATGCTGTCATCTTCCGGAATTTTTAATATGGGCCGGTGCGTAGGGAAATCTAAATTTGTGACAAGATTCTCACCTGGACGCCGGTCAGACTATAGGCCACCACCACTCATATGCTGCCAATGAATCTCAAAAACACGTGCTATTCAAGCTCGTGACAAGTAAGCACGGATCTGATATGGACGTTGACGTACTCTTACTATATATTTCGAATACCCTGACTAACTCTAAGATATATACACATAAGAGCCCTAGTACTACCTAAAATGAGGCTGCGGATTCCACCCGATATAACCCAAAGAAAAACCGACGGTAGGGAAAGAAGAATACCGAATAAAGAAGTGAATAAAGTGTGTATGATATCCCGATATCCTTTCCAGTGCATACTCCAAATGCAAGGAATTATTAAAGAAGGTAAGATAAATATGTAAAAAGAATTGAAATCCGTCACAGCTGATAAAAGAATCCCCATATATGTGTCCCGCTCTATCCCTTGGACGGATGAAACTGTCAAATTCGCAGCTTGCCTTTTGAGCTAATACTAGCCTAAGCAGGTATCTAACACTTATTTTTGATTCGCTCTAGGTCTATTATCAACAATTAAGAGCAACGGATATACCCAACTCAGTGCGTGCACGGTCCAGGCTGCGAATTTGACGATTTCATCCGTCTAAGGGATAGAAAGCCCCTATTACGGTGATTCAGTGGTCTTAGTTCATTGTACCGGATCAAGCTGTTTCTCGCAATCAATTGTTTGATGCTTCGGGTTCTGCGTGTTTCTGTGAACGTAGAATGCCGTGATGAGTTTTGCAAATGAGACATGTCTGTAATACATATTAGCTAGAGGTCCCTAAATCTTTCTCTTTCGGTGAATTTTACGTACAAAAGAACCACGCCGAACCAGAGAGCGAGCTGCGCGCCAATGCAGGTGCTTCGGACAGACATCTTTTCGCAACTCCCAAAGGCATCTTGATTGGTAATGAATAATGAGATTTTTATTGTGGTAGCACTCCACAATAAAACCTGAATAGTATCATGTACGAAAATCTCACACGCGTTTGGGTTGGTTGATGTTATATTGATGATAGTACAGATGAGTGTCAAAGCTGCCTACATAGTTGATAAATTAGCTTTGAAGTTGCAGTCAGATATCATATATTAAGCTAGAACTTACTGCGACACCAGGCAACCACGCAGGAAATCCTGTAGAGAATCCATTACCGTTTAAACCATACCATCCAAGGCTGGTCAAAACCGCGCAACTGAACAACAACGAGAGTAAGAAAAGTCCCCAAATATGTTTCGGCCACGAATTCGACTTTTGCTCGCCCATGGTTGTTGCTAACTAGATAGTCACCTCTTATGAGAAAGGCTGGGCAGTATTATACTGGAGTAGAGATCCACACAAAGAAGGGTATAACCGTATACATAAATACCAAAAGAACGGTGCACTGCCCGGTAAGAGGCACGGGAAAGGGTCCTACAAAGTCCCAGTTAATCATTTACACCAACTGACCCAGCCCGGTTTAAGCATGATAGAATTAATTGATTAAGACTCGCTAGGGATCAAGCATACCAAAGTTCCGGCGTGCAGCTAGTGGTATCGCGAAAAGGCTTGTCATCTGCTTGTGCCACAAGGCTGGAAATCTCTCAGCCAACTAATACTCCTTGTAGGCAAGTTGAAAAAAAAAGGCTGTTATATACCTACCCCCGAACGCCCTGTTCACCACTTGGCGCTACCTTTAGGAGGTTTAAGGCTGGAAACATGTGTAACATGAACCACCTGAGCGCCTATTTTTGTAGACATGGGCAGTCAGTCTAGCTAGATAGAGAATCACATAAGGCACGACATACACACATACCTGTCTCAGCCGTGAGTTTGCATGATGACTCTTGTGGACAATCCTTCCAAAGTAAAAACAGTTGTAGAGGACAATTTAGCGGCGTATCCACCCCTAAGATTGTATTGAAATGAGAAACATGTAGAATACTTGCATGTGGTGGTGTTTACACAAAATTCGCAACTTCGGATTGATACTTTGTGTGTAATTGTACATAGGTACTCTCCCGGTTTAAGTCCCGATTATTGTTACCATCAACTATGTGCCTTTACACAAGCCAAAGAACTACCACGAGGTTCAATTAAAGGCAGGTGGGGGTTGTCTTCCCTAGTCAGTATGAAGATCACCAAGCTCGAGATTGACACCCTGGAATACCTACTCTACCAAGCGGTATTTTACCGATGCCTGTCAACCTCGATCCTCCGAAACAATTGTATCTAGTTGCTGTTACACTCAGTATCCAGATGGGGGATTGGAATGTAGAAATTTCATAGCGGCTTAAGACTTAGCTCAGCCCTATTGCGCGAGTTCGAGCTTCTCACAGCACCCTGTGATTGATTTCCTTCCCATGACATCAGCCTTTTTTCTTAAAATCCAATCCCTATACGATAAGTTTAATGCGCAGGGCATGATGATGCAACTTCAATTACATCCTCCTATAATGTAATGAGTCCTGGAATAGTTAGGTATTTGCTTATATCAACTATTTCTCAGACGTATATATTTGAGCCCTCATGTGATATCCTCGAGTTCATTATATCGGCAGGACTTTTGCGTTGTTTATGCATGAGTTTCTTCTACCATGATCCAAGTGCACGGCGAGTTTACCAGCGCTCAAAGTGATGCAATTGATCCATAGCCCCGAATCTTTGGTCACCGATTAGTAGGGCTACCAATTTTTATGAACGACGATCGAAATCGTACCATGGTCGATACTTGATCTGGCGACTCGGAACACATAGAGTCAAATCAACGAAAATAAAAAAATAGGCTTACGGCGGCACAAAAAAAAGTAAGCTCACATATAACATCATGCCATCTGGTAGAGTATGCAGGTACATAAAACTAGAGTATCCAATTTCCACATCGTATTTCAGACTCTGGGGCTTTTGGTTGGGTTGATTCGAGTTTGTGCCATGCCCCTGCTTTGTGTACTGTTTGTTACCCAGGTAAATATTATACGTAGTAGCCACTACGAAACGTACATACCACGTGCACTTATCAGCAAGGAATACATAAGTGTTTGGGTTTTGTTCTTGATGAAACCCTTGATCTGATTATGATTCTAATCATAACCAAACCTGGGTTATATATATTCAAGCGACTGATCTGTGTGAATCTTAGTGAACGGGGAAGAAAAGGACGAAGAGGACAGTGTAGAACCTGTTAACTAGTGCAGGTAAATATATATATAAGAGCCTTATGGATGCGACTGGACAGTTTATAAAGTATACACCGCAGTATGAATGTTGAAACCTCGCTAGATTCGCTATCGACAAGAACCACGGCACGATGACCAAATTCCGCACATAACCAGAGCAGTATTTCCACTCTCCAGCGGTGTATGGCTGGGAGTGGTCGCGGCTTGTTACATAGCATCTGGTGTGGTAATTTTCGCCTTAGCGCCTCCCCCTTTTGAAGTGGCATTAAGTAAATACATATGTAGGTATTTGTGGAATCAGTGCAAATGAGCCCACTCCAAGTCTGATTTATGCGATTCTCGTTTGAGCCATGGCAGATTTTATTATGTCTTGGTCCTGGTCCTGGTTCACTGATGGCCAAAAATCTGTTCTAGTATACAGAAGTTAGGCATACTTATGATGATTACCGCTCCACAAAACGGAAACCACATTGAAAGTTCATACAGTAGGTCGAAATCTTAGGTCTACCGAGGATCTAGGAAGTCGGCACTGAAATACATGGGGGATAGTACTCTAGATAGAGTGTTTGGTGACTTCCGAATAAGGAATCAAAACACGCAAAATCCCTGTCCGGTGGCCGTGGCATACAGCACACCAACCCTGCTAAATGGGCCAATTGTTGTGCAGGTTCAGATGCTACATATCGACGTCTGCCAGAGATTTCCAGTCCTGTCAGCTTCCTCCTCCTGTACATACATACCAACCACACGAAAACAAATTCTCAGGCCTCTCTGTGGTTTCGCAAGCATCCCCTCGGTATAAATTATAAAATATAAACGACCGATGCCTGCAGGTCGTCGACGACATCCTAGCAGTGAGATACTGATCCCTATAGCTCTCGGCCTCACGGCGGCAATCGCGTCCGTTGGACTCTATCTCTGGCCCGACACTGAGTCGAACTACCCTTCTAGCTCCGACGAAGACCGCAAAAAGGTGAGAAGTCGCCGTCGACTTAAATCATCGCGCCGAAGATTCCGTGAACATGATCGTATATCGGAGGAAGACACGGACGATCTCGAGGAGGACCGGAGACGCGATGAAGAGCGCTTAAGGTTGAAAGGCAAACATACCAGCACCGTCGGTGCGGTGGTCGCCGGCGCCATAACTGCCGAGAAGAAAGTCGAGCATGCAGTTGTAGATGTTGTCGAGAAGGCCAAAGAATTGGCTTTTGACGTCTTACCCGCAAAGAAAGAGCCAGAGACCGTTATAGAGCTGAAGAAAGAAGCTTCAATGGAGAAGCCACAATACGTACCCCCTCCTGCAAAAAAGAAGAGTGTTGCGGTTGTGGTGTCTGAGCGGAAAGCACTCGAAGGCCATCATTCAGACTCTGATTTTGAGGAAACCGGATTACCAACAGTATGTCCCTCACGCGTCAAGTAGAGCGGCGCTCTACCAAATACTTTATAGAATCCGAAACTAATAAACATAGTCTCTTCTCTCCAACCTTCCGTATCCCCTGGATTTGTCGATGACTGAGCTGAATATCCTCATTTACTCCCCGCATCTAAGCACACACCCATTAACTCATTTCACGGAAACTCAATCTGCGCGTCTTGCACGCAAAGACTCGACATCACAACCGGTTATTCGTCGAGCAGGCAGCGCTCTAGCTACCAACACCTCAACATATAACATCGCTACCTCTGTCCTCCCAGCTTCCTATCCCCTCGAGCACATTCTTCCGTTCACAGACTCCAACTCAATTACGCCGCTCCTCCGTGCACTGGCTCCTGAGATTGTATACATCGAAGAGCCAATCACAATCCCTTCCAACGGTGCCATTGTCGCTGGTCTCCTTGAAGGCGGATGGGTCGGAAGTGTAGTCATTGTACTGATGGGCGAGGATGATCAGTTTGCAGGGTTGGTAGATAGTGAAGATGAGGAGGAAATTCCTGATGTAGATACGAGAAAGTCGAAGGGGGAAGGGAGATGGTGGGGTGATAATAGCCTTGAGGGGATCAGGGCGAGGTTTGGGGGAAGAGTACAGGTTGTTGAAGGGTGGGTTTTGATGGAGGATTGGAGAAGAAGAATTGAGGAGAGAGGTTGAGAGAACGATATTAACTCTACCAGAGCTACTAATGTGACCGTAAATGTTGTTGGGGGCTAAATGGAATGTACGCACTACGTGTATACATGTATGTGTAGGGAGACCTAGGTTCGCGCACATATTGAACTGGATGCGGTTTCGAATCTTGTTAAATACAGGTAAAGCGATATTCTTTTATCACTCGGACTGTTGAATCAATCAAGTATTTAACAAATATTCATGGTTTTTAATTCAATTTCATTGATTCTTTCTTTTTTTCCTAGTATATTATGTACATATAGGTACAAGTATTTACATCTTTCATCACCTGACAAACCCGGACTCCGCCATATCTCATGTACGTACTTGTATAGTCACAATCGAGTGATATTCCATGACCAATGTCACCTTCTCCTCGCTATAGATCCTCGGGGAGTGCTACCGACCACGAAATACTAGAACATGAGTCTAAGGGGGCCTGAAAATGATCCACTAGCACTCCACCGGTACCACTTGTCTGCCTTCTTGCTGTCAAATGAGCAGTCACAAAACTACGATAGGGCTAGCAGCTAATGAGCAGTAGTACCTGCGCATTTGAAGGTCAGTGTTCGCCGTTAATTCAGCAATACAGTCGCAACTCGATATGCCGGAACTCAATACACCGGATCCCTTGCTGTCCCGTACGAGGTCCTCTGAGAATATTATTTTTCCTACTGCAAAATCAATTTGCTATCCCAGATTTTTTGCTATCCTGTACGAAATCCTTAGAATCTTGGCAATCCGGCATATCAAGTTACGACTGTACCTAGTTCGGTCACTGATTGCGACTTGGACTGATCGCCCATATATATATGCAGACCCAGTCCAGTCTGGAAACGTTATGAATTAACGAGTAGGCAGATGTAAAACCGGGCGTAACACGGACCCGATATCGATCTCAAGTCAAAGAGTACCAAGATCATAAGGCCTAGGGATATCAATAACAGCGGCAAACGGACATTCGAACTGCCGGTGGTCGTATTGGCCTTACATAAATGCAGCTTATCCATAGGACACTGGTCGGTAGAGTGGAACACAGTAGACGGTTTTCCCTGGCCGCTCGGACACCCCCTCACTCGGACAGTTAACGTAGAAAAGAGATCAACGTTGTAAGTGGCTTCTGTACCTCTTCTCCACCAATCATCATTGACTGTCCGAGTGAGCGGGGTGTCTGAGTGGCCAGGGAAACCGTCTATGTATATAGCTATAAACGCGTGTCCCGCGCGGCAGTCGAGCCCTGGCCATAGCTCGAGCCAACTTGCCTCGTAGAAGGTTGGGCTCGTACTCGTGGGAAGAACCTCAAGCTCGCAAGCTAAGCTCGAGCTAAAATGATGTATTTCTTTGTGAAAAGTTGATAAGTCCTATTTCTGCTTGATTACAGGAGGGATTCTGCCTATAAATTATCACATTGAGAGAAAAGCCCAGGTCGAGGACTTAACTGAGACAACTCCACTCGCGCTCGTCGACCACACTAAACGCCGGCGGTCATGAGCAGCGTGGGATTATCCGACGGGGTGGCCGAGAGTTAAACCAGTAGATTAGTACGGTATTTTTGGGCCAGTTTTAAAAAACGAAAATATGTCTCCGTAAGATGTGCCTCTAGAATACCCCTGTGAACGTCAGTCATTATAAGCAGCGTACGTGAATTGGCCAAGTGCTCGTTATATAATTATTATAAGCTGGTTTATTAAGTAATCAGAATACAGTTGCGCCTCGCTATCTTGTAACTGGATATCTCGTGAAATGAGAAGTTTAAAAGGTATAAATAGGCTACTGACTCCCTCAGTTCAGTAATCCATCATTATCATCATTCAGTTCAGTAACCCATCACTACCACCATTCAGTAAATTATAAACATCAAACTACAAAATGTGCTTCATATCAATTTCAAAGTGGACATGCGGTTGTACCTACGAGCCGGAGACATCCGAGGAGGTCGTACGCTGCGGCAATTATCCTAATTGCGGAAATACTGGAAAAAACGGCGACAAGCCTCCTGTAAAGCAAAATCTACAAGCCCCGGGGGTTTGTTCAACACACAAAACCCACTGATATATGTACTAGTTCAATCATGAAATTGATATATGTAATCGTACTGACTAGAATATAGCAAATCCTACTATAATTCTACCCACACGATGGCCGAATTCTGGTGGAAGTATGGTAGGGATGGAATTTCGAGAGGGTGGGATTATGATAGGTTTCTCTGTAGTTATCATATATAAGATCGAGGAAGTCTGTGCATGTGGTGGTATGGTTGGATGGTATGAGGGTCGATACGATTTATAGCTGGCTCTATAGTTTGTCATTGAAATATGTCGATAGTCTCATATCTGGATCTATTAGTGTCAGAATATTTTCACTCGTCAATAATAACTACATTATTCCAGTACATAATGAGTCCGTTTGTTACGCGTAGTAAAATATGCTCTGATAATGATAGAGAGCTCCTCCATATATAAGACACCCTCTTAGAAATGGCTCGAGCGAATAGCGATGCTGCGATGCTTCGATATTTACATTGCAGTCATGATCTATATATGCGGGTCACTAGATATCACTCGGTTCGCTTTCTGTCCCAGTAACAACAATGGCTTGATTGATTAATTGATAGTTCATTGGTGTATGCAGTATCAACAACAGCTTCGTGTAAGTGTATAAAGCCTTACGAAAAGAAAAAGAAAGTCATTTTATCCACATTGACTGGAACCGGACACAATTAACTCTAGATATTGATATCGCTGACTCTAACGGAACCTCTATCCCTTTTATATGAAAAACCTGCTTTAGGGTAATGCCGCTAATAGCAAATAGAAAGAAAAAATGGCTCTTGAGCTAAAACAACCAGAACTCCCAATTCACATTCTCCTACCCCTACTCCCTACTAGGGCCTCGTCTCTCCTCCACGCCCGTAGATCCTTGGTTCCCATGTAGCCTTCTCCTCCCACTCCCCTCTTTTCCCAGCCTCCTAGCCGGACGACAACGGCAGTGGCATTGTCACCCTCAGTTGTCACTTCCTCTGCAAATTCTACTAATTCTTTACTGGCCTCGTCGGGCGTTTTGCATTCCTTTACAATATCACAGATCTCTTGATCCGTCAATGTGGCGCTCACACCGTCCGAAACAAGAACCATAAAAGAGAACTCGGCCGGGTGTATCTCGCGTCGTGTTATCTCTGGTTCCGCAGAAACTCCGAGGCGTTTTTGGGAAACGTCACCGAAGGACCTTGTATTGGCAAGAACACCGAAACGCTCTTCGCCGAAGGAGTCCGAGACGAAAGCAGTTGCGTAACGGCGAAGACGCCGAGTTTCGGCAGGCGAAGATGGATGATGGTTAGTGGTTACGGGAACTGCTAGGCCCGTTTCGGTCGAGCAAAGGACAATACGTGTGTCACCAAGATGAGCAGTTATGAGGGTTGCTGAGGTAGATGGGTTCCAGAATGGTGTTGCAGTTCTGTAAGATGGGGTAATGAAGATTAGCGATGCCAGTGTTTACGGAATTTGTGGAATATTTACGCTGTAGAAATTAGTGCAATTGAAGCCGTGGATCCACCTTTGAATGGGTTGGCTTTCGTTTTATTTCCATTGTCGATAGTCTCTGGTGCAGATTCTCCCTCATCTCCCGTCCCAACTTTGGTAATGAAATCCATATCTGCCCTGAGGAAAGCATACATTAAAACTCCTTCAACGTCCGCAATTGGCCCAAAGTCTGGCTTAAACCGTCTAAAGTACCCTCCAACCGTATCTCTCCATTGTGCCACTAGCTCTTCTTGTGTATCATGCCTTATTTTTTCGCATTCATCCGGTTCTTCCTGTTTACCTAATCCAAAGTTCTTTGCGCCCTCTTCTATGTAAGTGTGTAAATTTTCCTTTAAAAATCTACTACAGTCTTCACCTCCATGCCCATCAAAGACACCAAAATAAAAGACCGAGGGGTCTCCTGGTGGTGGCGGAACCTTGGGTTTGATCGGGGATGGTGCTGCAAAGGTTGGGATATCAATTACACCAGCCTGGTACCAATCTTCATTGTAGGGACGGTTGCCTCGAGAGCGAGTTACACCAAAATGGTGTTTTGCGGATCTAAGGGGAATGCGAACCACGGTTGTTGCACGTGTTTCCGGAGAGATCTGTTTGCTAGGTGCGGGTTAGTTGTGAAATGTCCTGGAGCTCCAAATTCGCATATGAAGACTGGAGGACAAACACCTAGCTAGTAGGTGCCATCCAACGCCAAACCAAACCCTGGGCTGGAAACAGAAACGAGGTTGACATACTTTGGTGGCACAGAGTCTGGAAAAACCGAGCTCCCAGGCAGATGTGAGGTAAAGTAATCGTGAAAGCCCCTCTTGCCGCGTACTCTCTCGTTATCATTTACCACACGTCTATCAATTCCGCGCTCATAGTTACTGATTGTGGAATACGCTCTAGGTACATCTCCACGAAATACCCTTGGAAACAGATCAGGCGTGTCAAAGAATCTAGATATGAAAACTGAATTCGGCAATGTCGTTAAAACATAGCTCTCACCTAGCAGTAATCGAAGTGACCCACAATAACTGTCCTGTAATCCCCAACACCCGCGGCTCGTGACATGAAATGACCTCCTCATAGTCTCTATAGAGGAGATATTCAGAATATTGAATAAATGTATATCGCGGGCTTTATGACAATAATCAAAAGTTGATTGACCCAAACCCGTACTCCACGTTTTGGAGTTTCCCAGAAAAAAGGAACTGGTCGACGTCACAGCCAGCAACCGATGAGGTGCGGGGGATGATCACACGGCGATCCCTTTCTTTTCTATCCCGGGACAATGGAAACCCTATCGTTCTTTCAGTTGGCTAGCTGAGGGCCTAACATTGTATGTTTGTCGGGGGTCCGATTGAGGTTTCTCAAACTCAGAGTGAGCGAGTGATTGAGTGGGCGAGAAACAAAACTTCGGGTACTCTCTTGATTAAGCGGCAGGTCACTGGGGAAACGTGGTCAGGACGACTACTGTCGAAAGGAGCACCGTTTATTGTTACCTACATGGTTAGGATACTGAATGTTCATCTCTTGCTCTCTCTCCGGCTAAGTGCTTTACCGTAAAGAGCCTGGCAGGTGGGGGAACGACAAACCCTTGCCATGAGAATCTTCAGCCGATGCGACCGGCCGAGCACTGGATACAAACTCTTCTGTGCTCCATGACATATATTACATACATACGCGTACGATGGAGAAAGTGGGAGAGGATGAGGGGTGTAAGGGGCGTAAGGGGCTAATCTTTTTCTAATCCTTACTATCCACATACAATTTAGTACATGCATACGCAAAACCATAATCCAGTACATAATAGACATAACAGATTCTCTCATCTTTTGGACACAACCCAGAATCCATTCAGGCACTATCGGCGTATTTTACACAACCATCCTGCTTTGTCAGTGAATCGTTACTCACGGAGACAGCCGCGAGCGCCGCTGTTATCGGCGCAGCTCGTAGCCTCAAGGCATAGTCTCCCCCCAGAGCTCTCCACACAACTGCGATACGAATACGAGAAAAAGCTTCAACAAGAGGTAGTCGAAGGAATAGCTGCAGAGGAGGGACGACCTTGACGGAGGCCTACTAGCCTGATAAAATGGACACCATGAATCACTTCCGTCTACCTTCGGGAAGCTCAATACCAAACATCTTCAACTTCAATCAGCCTTCTCCGGCTTCGAGCCCACTAAGCCCTCAGCAGCAGCAGCAGAAGCAAGCCGCCCAGCCCCGCCAAATCCACAGAAATAGAATATCTTACTCCTGCCATGCTTGCCGACGTCGGAAAGTCAAATGCGATCGCTTGCATCCCATCTGTAGTAACTGTACAAAGACAGCAGAATCTTGTGTCTACGATGACCACGCAATCAATGGAAACAAAGGTGGCAAGGATGAAAAGAGTCAAAAGGCTGGAGGCGGGACGAAACGGCGAAGGACAAACGAGGGCACTCTAACGGTGAGTGAAGATGGTGAGGAAGGCTACCCAGGGGGAAACGGCATGAATCCGAAAGATTCAGCTACTACAACCACTACTTCTTCAGCTTCACCCCCGAAATCGGCCTTGGGAGTAAGCAAGGAAGCAGACCTAGAGACAAGAATGAATAGGCTTGTAGAAATTGTGGATAGATGGTATAAAGATGCATCTGCTCATGGCGCTCTTTCAGATGGCCTTGCTGCTCGGCCCGGACTCCAGACAACTGGCCATGATAATGCTACAACAACGAATACCTTGGCTGAAAACGGGTTCACACAAAGTCAAGCCTATCTATATCTACTGCAACAAGCCACAGGACCGATTCGACATAATTCTACTGACCTGAACCATTCTGCGTCGTCGGCATCTCCTTCTCCGACACATACATTATCTCCAAATATTTCTGTAACGCCAGGGAGCAGCATCGGAGGCCGAAGTCAAGAACCAGAGAATAATAGGCCGGGATGGGCTGCTTCAAATACCCCTATGACCATTAAAATATTCAACGAAAAGATTGAAGCAGCGAAACAGAGTGAAAATGATGATGTTGATGATTTAGGTATCGGTCATCTAAGTATTCAAGGTGGAGGAAGGTCCCGTTACGTTGGTACTAGTTTTTGGGGCTTCCTCAGTAGTGAAGTGAGGATATTCTTCTCCACATTCCTTAAACCACGCGGCATAAGCTTACGGTTACCAATAGATCAACGAACTAAATCAAATCCTTAAAACCCATACCCACTTTGACAGAATCGGGGATCGAAAAGACTGTGAAGAGCACTTTAAAAACACACCAAAACCGCAACCCTCTCTAGCGCCCCCACAGCCACAGCCCCAACCAGAGTACAGGGCTGAGTGTCCGCAGGCAGTGTTAGCAATGTTCAGTAAAGCCTCGTTTCTCCAATTCGAGCCCCGCGAGATTGAGGCTCGTGCCTGTGAAGTAGTCCCAGCAATCCTCAAATCTCTCCCAAATAAGTCGTTTGCAAATCATCTATACAAGTCATTTCTGCATGGGGTCCATCCAGTTATGCCTCTGTTACATGCACCGACATTTGATGAGGATTATCAGCATTTTTGGAAATGGTATCCAGACAACCAGCATCAATTCCCCGATTCTAAGCTTACGGAGAACCCAACCTTTCTCCCGTTATTGATGGCCGTGCTGTATGCTGGGGCTATCTCAATGTCGAGCAAGACGATAAATAGACTAACGGGAGGTGAATGGACGAAAGAAACGCTTTCGTCCCGTCTCTATGGTGCAACCATGAGTGCGCTTGCCGCATGCGCTTTTCCCCGCTCCCCAACCGTGTACTCTCTCATTTCCTTCCTCATAGTGCAGACTTGCCTTATTCGTGAAGAAGAGCCGCTCACATCTTGCTCCTTTGTTGGCATGGCAATGCGAGTTGCGCAGTCAATGGGGCTCCATCGTGATGGTTCACTATTTAAACTTTCAGAAGTCGAGTGCGAGGTCCGTCGGAGAGTCTGGTGGCACATTATGTATCTCGATGTTCAAGGCGCCATCGCAACAGGTCTTCCGCCCCTTGGTGGGAGCGGTGATGACCTTTACGATACAAAGATGGTATCTGAGCTCAGAGATGAATACATCGGGCTTGCTCCAGGTGCCCCAGACCCGGTCACACCAATGACCCCTCATAACTCGCGATGCCAGGAATTTCATAAAGAAAAAATTGATATACGCTCCTCGCCTGCCATGATATTGGCAGTGGGCCGATATGAATCGACGATTCTTCTTCGGAAGATCATTACCCGCTTATTTGCTATACGAGGGAGTAAGAGAAGTGATCTGATGGAGATGGGGAAGATGATATATGAACTTAAAATGAATCTGGAGAAGAAGATATCAAGAATACCAGCGCGGGGAATACCCGAAATGGGATTTATCCCTCCCGTGGGTTCTAAAGGGGAGCCCGAAGTACCAAATGAGGTGGAAAGAGCTGTCGTTTTCAACTCGTGGGCGAGGATCATGTTGAGTTTGTTGAGCGACAGGGCATTTGGGGTACTTTATCAACCGTTCCTAAAGAGCGCAAAAAGCAACCTGTGGAAGCATGCCCGTAACTGGTTCGTTGGAGCCTCTCCTTACAGTTTTCCCCATACCATTTCTTCTCCCTAGCTAACGAGCATTGATTAGTGCTCTCCACTTTTGTCACTCCTTCCTCCGCAAGTTCCTCCACCTCTCACGAACCCAACTCTTCCAGCCCTACCAATGGTTCTGCCCTGGTACTTACCAACCCCTTCACGCAACAATGATCCTCATCCTGGATCTCCACGAGCGCCCTTTCGCCCCTGAGGCCCCAAAGTCCCGCGACTTTGTCGACGAAGTTTTCGCCGTCTTTGGCGAGCACGGGAACTACTCTACAGGCGACGGCGAGGGTGGTAACCGGCCACTAATGGAGGGCGGCCGTGAAGCCTGGCGCATGCTCTGGCGCCTCCGCAAAAAGGCCTACGAAAAAGCAGGAATCAAAATACCGCCGCCGGCACCACAAGAACAATCCGGAACTACTAAGGACCCCGATATCAAACTCGGCGGGTACGGGTGCGGCAGCCAGCAGGAGTACTATCCAAATTTTCCACAGTTTGCGATGGACCATACTACGGCAGTCACACAACCGGCGCCGGTCCCGCCGACACCGCCGCCGTTTATACCAGTCCATGTGAGGCCGGTGACACCCCCGCCGCCAAACATGGACGATGTACCTGGTGGAGGCAGTTTTGAGGAGCTCCTGCAGATGGATACCATCATTGACGCTGAGGATAAGGCATTTTTCACGGATGCTGTTGCGGCGCACTTTTTGCAGAAGCAGCAGTCGAGGGATTTGGAGTTTGGTTTTGGGATGCCGGAGGAGGAGGAGGAGGAGGAGGCGGCAGCACCACCGCCGGCAACAAGTCAGTTTAATCCGCCTGCGGAGGGCGCCGGCCAGGACATGATGGATTTTGATTGGGAGGAGTGGGACCAGGTGTTTGGGAAGTATGTCTCGGTGGATGTGGGGGATATTTTGTAGCCAATAGGGGAACTTTGTAGCCAATGGCCTGGGGGATTTTTGTTGCTCATAGGGGGGCTTTGCGATGGGTGGTCTTTTTTTCTTTCTTTCGTTTTATTCCCCCGCGATTCTGCCTATTTCTGCACCTTTGCATTCTTATTTTGATTTTTTTTTTACTGTATAAGTATGGATGGGTCACATCGGGTTGAGGGTGTTTTGTGTTTATTATTGATTTTTTCCCTCGATATATCCCCATTCTCCTATTGAGAGGCCTTTTATGCCTGATGATGTATTTTACGTACTTACTCTACTCCACTGCATAGTATATTTATTTATACTGAAGCCGAAAAGGCACTTGTACTGTTCTTTCATTCTCCATACCATGCCTGTACATGATCTGCACGGGGTGTCAATGATAGCTCAGCACCAAAAGAAAAAGAAAAAAGCCATATTTGTAATATGTATGTAGGTATCATTATCATACACCAGAAGAGAAAAAAACGCCCCCACAAAAACCATTCTCATCTATTCGCAAGCTATATATCCGGAAGAGAGAAAGAGAGAAAGGGAAGGAAAAGAAATGGTATAAATCTATATACGCTATTCTATGGCACTATGCTGTTCTTCTTCCACCCGCAAACACAAGCAAACCGTAGGACTGGGTACCAAGGGCCTAGCTGGGCCTAGATCCCCCTATTAAATTCGAGCATACCGCTCTCGCCGCCTTTGTCCCAGAACTCCTTCTCAAGGCTTGTAGCCTTCGCCGCCTGGCGCTGCGGGAATGCACCCAGCGCAAGCGGGAGCGCAAAGATTGATGTTGCAAAGATAAGGCCTACTTCTGCGTTAATACATGCGGCCCCCATAAAGCAGAGCGAGGGAAAGAAGAACAACATACCAATATTAACCGGCGTAACCAACGCCGGCCTCTTCTTCAGCCACGCGCTCCTCTGTAACCTCATGAGCACTAACGGCGGCACCACCATAATCGGTGTCGCATTCAACACTCTGCTGACCGCCGTCTCCGCCACGGCGATCACCGCCGCTTTCCGACTCTTCCCCAAGCTCTCCTTCGGCGCCTCCTCCTCGACCAGCTCCACGGCCCCCGTCTTCGCCTTGGCCGGCGCCTTGGCCGGATACACGTCGATTCCATTCTGAATCTCCCCGCCGCGCATCAACGCAACATTCAGCACACCGGCCGAGGCAACCGCCGCAAACGGCACCAGCCTGGTCAAGAGGACCTTTGTCCCCGCGCCCACCTTCAGCTTCGCAACGGCCCTTCCTAGACCCACGGCGACACCGCAACTCGCCGAAACCGCGAGCGCGAAGCTTCCTGCGAGCTGTGCGGGGCCCAGCGGCGAAGACTTGTTCGCGTTCGACGTGTTGATGAGCACATTGAGCGTCTGGTTTGCGACCTGCCACGCCAGGGTTCCGCGCGTGGTGAGATTTGGCTGCAGCATGCCCGCGGTGACGATGAGGTTACTGAACACGAAGCAGCTCATGCGAAAGGGGAGGAAGACGGGTGTGCCAGTGTCGGGGTGGAGGGTGGAGTCGCAGAGCTTCTTGGCGGCCCAGAGGTCGGATGTCATGGCGGGGGGGAGGGCGCCCGTCTTGTATTGCGTGAGAAGCATTTTGGAGGCTTCTAGGGTCGCAGAGCTGGTAAAGAGAGTGCTGGGCGGGGGGGGGTATGTGAGTGGGCGTGCGATGGTTAGAGGGGAGCAGCGGAGTAGGTTACCGTGGGTCGCAGAGGTCTGCGGAGTGGAGGACACGGCCCCAGTATGTGCTGAGGTCGTAGCGGGAGACGGGGAGATCGCGGGTACCAGGAATTGAGGAAGACATGATGGAGTTGAAGAGGGGGTGAGAGGGAGATGAGGTTGGCGGTGGAGTGGGGTTGGTGGGGTTGAGGTTGAAGTCGAGGTTGAGGTTGAGGTTGAGGTTGAGGTTGAGGTTGATAGCGAAATCTGTTATCGTGAAAATTAAGCACTTGGTCCGTGCGAGAAAAGCAAGCTAGTAAACACCCCGCCACAGCCCCTGCACGCACATGCACAGCACTCAATTCAACTCAACACTCAACTCAACTCAACTCAACATGCTGCACTCAGCACTCAACACTCAACTGAAGATTCCTCCACTCGGATGTCAACGACACAAAACAGGAATCCCGGACGGGGCGATACTGCATGCAAGTGCTGAATTCTTTGCTAGGGATCACGGCCGGAGAAAGCTCTGATGTGAGCGTGATAATAATAATCTAGTGGTGGGTCACTCTGTGTCACTCGGTTTTCAATATTCGAAAAAAAAAAGTCGCAGAACCCCGATTGATGGCTGACGCGAAGGTGCAACATTAAATGCACGAAGTCACCTAATTACAGCCCGGGACAGTTGACCGTAATGCTAGAAAGGAACAGGTACTCTTACGCTGTTGGGGTTGGTCATGCCTCCTATCCATGTGAACCATGATATAGGCAAGTCAGGTTTCCTCATGATCTCACTGTCCTTCCCAAAGAAACCCCTTATAGTTAGTGGTGAATTTAAACTTGACTTACAGGATACCTACACCAATGCTTCACATTGAATACCGAAACTGCCCTAGTCTCCCGGCTCCTATCACAACTATTTTGATTCGGAGCTGCAACCGACTTCGGCGATGCCGGAGCTAGTAATGATATATCTTACAGCGGTTAATCATTAGGAATAGCACTGAGTCGAACCGGTATATAGATCAATATCAAAAAAAAAGACTTTCAAATGTGAGAACATGACCCGGGCCTCTTTGTCGGGCGTTCCTTCGATAATGGAGAAAACAACACTCCAGTGGGAATTGAACATCCCACTTCCCCGAGCATAATTTTACGCTCGAATTCACAAAAGTGAGTTATGCCGGTAGATGCGCGTGGATTCGCCACAGTACACTGCCGGAGCTGTGGTGACATTGGAGAAAATCACACACTGGGGGTTGTAGCTGGGGTTTGGAAGAGGAATATTAGCCTTTTGATTAACAGTATGCCAACAACTTGCTTCTCTCTAAGATCGAGTAGAGAAGCCAATAACACTTCCCACGATCCCGGATCTCGGCGGGTTTCCCGCTCCTCAACACCCACATGCACAGTACCTTGCCTCATGGCGTATCTTTCTGACCCTACGAAGCCTGGATTAATGGATCAACCCGCGGATCAACAAAAGCGCTATGGTCTGAAGCCTTGTCTGTAGATCCTTATTGCGGTCATGCGATATCACTCGTCCGTAACAAACAGTTTTTGTTTGGTGATGTGTTGCTTCTCTGACTGTGGAGTTTTTGCAGCAGGGATAAACCATCTAGTCCATGCATTGGAGGCCTGAATCTGTGTAAATAATCATACAAGGTTTCAACTGAGGCTTCTTGTCACCTAAATCCTGCGGTCGATCTATTGGAGATCGAGTATGATATGGCATGCCGAGGAGAATCCAGCCGTTAATAAAACGCCTTTTATGATAATTGGTAGAAAATCCTCTAGCCATCATCAATCAACGTTATGTGGCACTTTGAGTCCCTTCCCAATGGTCGTTTCTAAGCTAGCCCATGGCTAAGGCTAAGGCTCACTCGTCAATCTCCCGCCTTGGTTGGGGCGATCTCCCTGGATGGACCGCGTGTGTATCTTAGGTAGGCACTCTAGACCCAGTGGTTTCCCAATGCGTTTTTCATGAGATAACAGATCGTGTTCCACTGCAGTACGGATACTGGCCGTCCCGGAAAACAAGATCGATGCATTCCTAGAGTCCTCTGGTTTCACATGTGCTTGCTCGTAGAGTACTAGCGTAAAGTACTGTTCACTCGAAACTTCCCTTAGCTGGTAGGCCCCACCATGCTACACACTGGCCCACGATTCATATCAAAACCTCTTTGGGCAGAACCCACCGCTGGTATCTAGTTGTCGTAAGGGCGGGTGATACGCTCTGTAGCTTCTGTATGGTTCGTGGTTGTTCTCCTAAAAATAATGCCGTTAGTCCGGCAAGGAACCAAGAGGTAGGCGGAATACCCTATTTGTGATGATGACTAGTCGCGATCGATTGATAGGATGTTTGTTCCTAGTAATGAGCCACGTTTCTCAGAGGCTGCACTTAGAGCCCCTACCTGCTTGGCCCATAGTGCTGATCTTCCCTTCCAGGTACTTCCGCCCCCAGAATTTTCTGCAATGAGACTGTTGGGCTCTGTCGTGCATCTGAAAGGGCTTGTTTGTGGGACCTCTAGGGAAAATTCAAAGTCAGATAATGGTGCACGTGTCTGCACCAGAGTTAGTACCAGTCTGCAAAGCAAGAGGCAGAGCTCAGGTCAAATACATACTGAATTATACCCGTTATTGAGGCCACGGCAGTAATATGTTGCCGTGCGTAGACGGCAATACGACCCATTACATAACCGAAATATGGCCAAAACACGCGGGAACATGGGAAGACCTCATGTGCAATCTAAAAAAGACGTCATTCTGCTTGCTTTGGCCGTATAAACTTTTGAAAGTTCCCGCAACGCTGAAACCGCAATATTCCGAAGTTAACCACCGCGTACGGACACCGCGCACTGGCCAATTAGAAGTAAGGTAGGCGCGTTTCAGGGTCCCAAGGCTGTTTCTAGCTGAGTCATCAACTAATTGGGAATGTAGTGATTCAAGCACAGAATGAGTATACATACCAGGTCCAAAGCTTTTAGAGGACACTGTTATCATAGGTTTCTTTCTTGTGCTGAGAGAACAGTACATGTGAACAGACGGGAGAGATTGTACTATAGATTGGTTAACAACACTGCAGGACACTGTGGCGGTTCCCACTAGTATAACTGTATGACGCGACGTACGGGACGGGGACAGAAGTAAGTGCGGTGTTTCATTACAAGATGTCAAAATACGCTAGCATGAAACCATTTGGCGACCAAAGTTCTCCTAGCCTTTGATTTACACACTATCCTCCACCGCCTCCCCCCAACTGCTGCATTATTTCCATCTTTGGTTGGTTTGGGATTTGAGCAAATAGCCGATAACCCACAGAATCTGTCCCAGGCTCAGTGTACTAGATCAAATCAAGGCTAGACCTCGATAATGCAGGCACAACTTAATCCTATTGAACTGAGTCTATCTACTGTCCTCTAGTGCATGGGTATTGACAGACACTCATGTTGACGGATAGACTGCTTTGGACCAATAAAAGAAGACAAACACGATCTTGACCGTACGTTTCTCTTAGTTTTTGGCTCCTAAAATTTACTAGGAATATATAAGTACTTCGCGGGTTGTAGTACCTAGGCCCTACTGATACTTGTGCAGTAACCGTTCGATTCGAGCCGACGGACTGGAAATACATGGCTATCATCGCCAGATTAAGAACAGGCCATATAGTCAACAACCAATACCTCCTACACCGGATAGGAAAACTCGATACACCAGAATACAAATGCGGGGCAGAGGTACAAAATGTTAACCATATCCTCACCAAGTGCTTAGCAATAGAGACAGTTAGGGAAGTCAATGGCCTGCACGATACCATGGAAAAGCTATTATGGACTGCCACAGGCATACCTATTGTGAAGAACATTTGGAGTCAATTTCTACGGTGGAAACACCAACTAGAGAGGAGGGACAGCGAGGCCCAAAGTGAACCAAGGGAATTGGAAATGGGGTGGGACAACTTGAGGGAAGAATAAATTGGGCTGAGAAAAGGAGAAGGGGACAAATTGTTAAAGGAAAAGGAAAGAATGGGTTTGATTAATTGATTGATTACTTGATTAATTAGGAAAGAATGAGTTAAAAGACAGCAATATTTTATTCCACATTTCAGTTTATATTATTTCTTCAGTTTATTTCTTTAGTAGGTTTTAGATTTGTCAGATATTATCATAACCTCCGGGTTGCATACAATTAATGAAGTAATCAATCAATCAATACTTGTGCAGTATTTCGTATCGAGTGATTCTACATGAATCTACAATATATGAATACGTGGTAGTGCCTCCAAAAGCGACTTTTCGACTTTCTCATACAAAGGCTAACAGAGTTCAACGATCACCTAAGTATTTTAACTTCTATGTATTTAGCAAAGGTACAGTATCAGAAATGGGGGTAAAACTGATACCGCATCAGTACGGCATTGTGAGAATATGCCGCTTTGTCTCCGTATTTTGACGAAGTAAACGGTAGTGTTACCGCAGTGGTACGGCATTGCCAAAGACTGCGATAGTCATTTTATCCATGTTTCTGTCACTGTAGGTACATGTATTTAATTCCCCTCAACGTTCGATCGCTTAGTCACTACTACTGCTAGCAGGTGGGTTAGGGTTGTATGTGAAGTCATCGGATCCGGATCGCAATATGAAGTTAAGAATTTCACTCTGCATCCCCTGCAGCTGTCGTGAACTGGGCTGCACTGCATTTTGCGAAAGAAAATTTCAACTGCTGTAATACACACCACTTTGTAGCACAAACGATAACCAAGAAAGCAATAATGACCTGGAGCCGGTTCGGAGTCTTCGTGCACGCTCCTCCGCGATCCGGTTCCTGCGAAAAAAAAAAGAGGGGAAAAATCACAAGATCGGAAAGAAATAAAGCAATGGTTATACAAAAGCTGTCAAGCTCTCTCGCGTTATAATTGTGCGACTGTGTTTTTCCAGAGTCTAAAATTTAATGATGTTTTAGGTTAGGGTTACAAAAAGGGGTTCGGTATCTGCGAGGTTGATTGGTGGTATTGGTCAACGAACTCACCTCCTTCGTTTCGAGACCGGATTGAGATGTCTCTCCACCTACCTCAAATACGTTGTGTTTAGTATACGACCGGATGAGGTCGTTTCCCCTTGAATATCGAAACGATGATTGGGAGAATTATCTGCATAATTTGCCCATATGATTCTCCTCCCCCGGAACTCATCACCACCTCACCCCTAGCGTTGAGGTGCGGAAAGATTTGAGGGCGGGGCATTCCGTATACTATGCGACTTATTCACAGAGACCTCGTGGATAGTATCATGATTGTATCAAAGAAGTGGATTTTCAACTCAGAGAAAGCCCTGAAACGTTTAACTGGATCATGGGACATCACTCGCTCCACGTGCACGAAGACTTGGCAATGCGCATTCGATTTTGCAGAGCCGCGGCTATAATGGCCTGCTCAAAAGAAGAAATAAAATGTATGTACTATACTACACTACCGATGTAATACAATATTCTAAAAGGATAATTGAGAAAAGTGTTTCGTCGCCAACGAGCAAATATTAAGAGGACAACCTGGCAAGCCATCGCCCTACCAGAGTATAAAAGAAATACAGACGAAAGGAAGGGATAAAGAAAAACGGAAGAGGAAAATAAAGAAGAAAAATTGACACGACGCCAGCCTATCTTAAGGCTTTAAACTCCGGTTGTTACAGATGCACAGTTTCCAATCTCAATCATGAGATGCCTCTAAACACCCTCCCATCAATCCCGCCCCAGTCACTCCACCCTTTCCAATTTCTCGCCAGGAATTTTAGCCTTCTAGTCCTCGCGCCTGCGTCCGCCAAGGTACCGTTGCTATCCAGCTCTACTGTTCGGTCCATTCCATTCCATCCTTCCAGATCAACGACTTTCATCCCTTTGCAAAGTCGCTCATCAGGCCAGTTTTCCTCTCCGCATGGCCAGCAGCTATCACCACTACTACCCATGGAGTTCTGGAGAGCTTCATAACAAGTTGTACAGTATCGGTCCCGCAGCTGCACCGGCAGCTCGGGGGTAGATTTTAAGTCTGCTCGAGGCGCAGGAGGTTCGCAAGTGGGAGCGCTCAAACACTTTGCTACGCGGAAGTAGGTACGGTGTGGTTGGTGGGGAAGATGCGGGGACGAAGAAGAGAGGCACCTTTGGTAGACCCAAAGCTCGTACTGACACATTTCTTGTCGCTTTGGTCTTTTTTTTCAATATACCAGGTTGCAGATAACTCTCAGGTCTGTAAGAAGTATAAAGTAGAAATTATCTCTCTCGGAAATTTAACTTTGAATTTCCGTTGTCGTTGATTTAGAATGATAATGCTGCTACTTAGTTGAATTCGAGTGATTATTAGAGCCTTCTTAAGCCTATGTACCGGTTGGTCGAGGGGTCGATATAAACAAGGCGGACAGTCTGTTGGCAGAAGCAGTTACTTCGAAAAAAAATCTTTAGCCTCGTCGGGTAGTTATTCGTTGATAGCGGTTTCGAAACTGCACCTACATATCGAGCAAGGTCGATGCAGGTATTTCTCCGTCTAGTTCTCTAGCCCGTGTAATTTGAATTCCTGTTGGCTTTGCTTTTTTTTTTCTTATTGTTCAGTTCCCGGACCTTCTTATTGACTCAGGGTACAGGTGACAGTGGTTGTGGTGGATGTCTGCGTTTGTTTATCTGGTCTGCTCGGGTTGAATGATGAAGTGTCTCAATGCTGGACACATAAGAGCAAACGCAGAAGTTACCGGCAACGAGGGTTGAATTAAAAGAGTAAGAGGAAGAGGAGAAGACATGCAAGAGAAGTAAAGTACTTGTCGGGAAAAAGTCGTGCTCATGATTCTGACTGTCAGTCACTCCCCTGGCATATAAGTGATTATGATTAATTACAGGGCGGATCGGAGACTAGACTGCGCATACACGACTCCCAGTGAATGGAGGAGGCGCAAATTTGGTCAAATTAACCAGTGCACTAGGCATGAGGCTCCGCACACCCTTCTTTCTTCCATTTGTGTGGAGGAGGCTTAAGTTGGAACATGTCAAGTAGCTCAGGGGAATCTAATTTCATCTCAGCTGGAGCGGAGCCTACATGTAGTTCTCTGGCGAACTATTTATTTTTCAACATCGTGCAAAACGGAGCCCTTAGTAGATTTTCCAAACGGACCAACTTTTAGGAGCAGGCTGAGATCGATGGGCCGATAAGGTACATGTAGAGATTCTGTATGGTAGCATGTAGAGTACGCCTGCATATGCAGCAAGAGTTGCGGGTTATTCTAGCTAAGGCAAGCGCATGGATTCGTTGCCAGTAGCAGTTTTTAAGCCGCAACTCATGCGCAGAGAAAGGCCGAAGATCTGTGCATATTACATGCCATGTTGCAGTGAGTACTCACTCGATCACTCAACTCCATAGCTACAAAACACAACCTAATCCTCCTAATCCTCCTCCTCTCTTCAAAACCTCTCACCGCCTAGCCACTCTACCAGGAAACCCTTACTCTAAACGAACGAACGAGCGAAGGAACAACAAAGGGCCTGCGTCATGCTCCACTCGCTGAAGAGGGAAAAAAGGGAAGGGAAAAAAGGAAAAACAGGTGTTGTGCGTGGCCGCGGCGGGTGTCATCGTGTCCCCTCAAAGAGGTATGTACGGGGAAGGAAAGGAAAGTCTGACGCATACCTGCAGGTCGCTATTGACACTCGAAACCCCGGGGGATAATACCTGGTTGTAAGCCTGTCGTACCGGAACCGGTATGATGTACTGTGGACGTCTTTAAAACCCCTTCCTCGCCCACCTAGTTCTACCTCATGCCTGTGGGCCTTAATTGATAACGGGTAACTAGCAGCTAGGAATGCGGCTGCACATTCTATCAAAGAACATAAGGGAGGAGAAAAAGCAACACTTGTAGGGACCGATGCTGTTGAACGAAGCTCTAGCTCCATGACCATGGTTATGGGAGGCTGCTTTCAAAGGCGCATAGTATGGACATACATACCTACCTATATCAACCGGCCTACATACCCGACAGATAGAGCACAGCCAGCATTTTTTTCTTACGTGTCCAAACTCGCTCCATCCAGTTTTTCCTTGTCTGTTCCGGACCTACCTGATGGATACAGGCGTTGCAATGCAGCGTGCACGTGCGGGTCAGTCTAGATCTGCTGATCGGGATAAATATGTATATCCCCCGACCCATAACAAAGAGATGCTGAAACTGCACCAGCTGGCTTGGGGATTCACAGCAAACGAAACACAAAATGCGTATTGCTGGGGGAGCCAGGTGATTAGGATTCAAAGACCGCGACTAAATATGTACACGATGTACATACATATACTTCTTAAGTTCAGTCTCATAGGAAGGTATTATGACGAAGGATGGAATAGCGTGTGGATAGAAATGACAATACATGTATTAACTATAAAATAGGTACATCTAGCTTTTCTCCAGCTCGGCCGGCTAATATTTGAGAAAATTATATTACAGCTGGCCATCCGAACTAAACTATGTACATGTACATGTACTTGATTTACAAAAAAAAAATCATCTGGATATTCTCGTTTCTATGTTGAACATTCGAAGATTAAGCTCCAATATCGAGGAATAGAGGTAGAATAAGCTCATTGTCCTCTGCTGCAGTTTTTACTTATCAGATCTTCTAATTCTCCCCTCTCCGCATACTAGACTATTAAGAATTTTTTTTCTATTCTAGTCAATACGTCCCTAGAGTAATTTGTAGAATGTTTCAATCCTGTAACCCTAAACCGAGACTTGAAACGGCGCAACCTCGCCTGCCACTTAGTACATGTAGCTACATAATATTTTTGAGCCACACCCCAAGACTCAGCGTCCATGCAGATCAGTTGAACCATCAATCGATAAGGGTACAAGGAATACAACACCAACATTCGAGCCTCAATAAGTCTCTATCAACCTAGCATCCAATCTCAGACAGCCATAAATTGCAATTGGCATCCACCAATCTGGTCCGTATATCAAATGAAAGATGCATAAATTCAACCATTGAATACTCACTCAATTATCAATCTAGATTCCCAACGCCCTCCCACTCGGATAGTGCAATGCCCACAAGCACTCACTCAATGGCCATCACTGAGCTCCCAAAAGCCCCAGGGCTTCGCACCCACACGAGCATCTTCGACTCCATTACACTCATAGAAGCCTCTATCAAAGGCCCCACTCTACGAGAAATTCGCAAAGACTACCGCTTCATCTGCTGCCGCTGCAACTACTCGCAAATCGTCTTCGGTCACTGCAATGTTGCGTCTGATAAACCTGGCCAGACAGTGTTAACATGCTCGGAGCAAAAGTCGGAGGGTCTAGTACCGAGGCCACTGCGAAGGTGGTCGTGTGGTGGGGGGTGCTTCGAGCGGGAGAATACCCATGTGGCATGCAATGGGTGTCAGTTTGCGGTGCGGTATCGGATCGTTGGCGGGCGGGGTGGGGTTTGGCTGACTGCGGATAGAATTGAAGTCATGTCTTGAGTGAAGGGGAGCTAGGAATCTGTATAGCTATTAGGGGTATCTTAATTTTCCCATCCATGGATTTGTTGTGAGTTCTGGGCGTTAAGTTCGTTTGATGAAGTATATTCAGCATTTTCATACCTCTAAATTACATACTTGCATGAATTAGTAGGAATACATAGTCCTCTTCACAAATCATGACGCCAGCGCATGTCTTGTAGCTAGAACTACCCGTATAAGACTACGTTATCCCGCCTGGCCTCCCCAAGCTCTGGGAACATAAATTGGAAGACAAAATCAGGGAGGAATTCGCCAAACGAAGCTCTTTGAAGTTTGATTAGGTCAGGTAGTCGCGATTTGAATGTTTCAACGAGTGATAAACGATGACGCACGCCAATTTAGGCATCATTATTTCCCCAGGGTTAGGGTTAGGTTGACCTTGCACTCGTTCCTGAGTTATGTGGTCTGGACGTTGAATGCAGGTAAAAAGCGAGCTTTATGAATCTCTCGACAGTCAACTATCCAATCCAGGGCGGCTATGAATTTCTCTTTTCTTGGAGGCTCTCCCTCTTCCCTCTTGCTACATAGGTCTGATAAATGCCATCTAGGAACCTAGCTGTGAATTAAGAATTCTCATAAGATACCCCCGGAAATACTACCTCATCATGAATTATCCAATTTCACAAATACCATAGAGTACTTCGCCGATAAGACTAGGTTGCAAAGCCAGATCTAGCTACATGTATGCTGGCATAGCATTTCGACGCCGCAGCTTTGCTTCGCCTCACCGGCATCTGCCCCACACGCACAGCCCAAACTGTTGATGAATCGACCCAACAGCATGGAATACATAATTACATGCATTTATGATGCATAGTTAAGTTCGGTACCGACCTATAATACATAGCAGCTACATGTACTTAACCGATAGATCAGATCTAAGAGACACCGAAACCCAAAAACTCCGATCCCCCAAAACTCCAGAAATGCGCCTTTCCAGTAGCTAAAAAATAGACAAAATCAAAATCCAAAACGCCCCAGTTTATACATGCATGCTGAACCCAGCAGCCAACATATTATACGCCTAATCTTGTTTCGCCGTTTTTCCTCTTGACTACAATGCAGCCAACAATAACGTTGATAATCATCAACGACTCCGCAGCAGCAACTAGCCAGCTCATTGAGAATGCAAACCCCTTTATTATAAACCATGGTAAGTTATAAAACTAATCAATTGTAGTTTCAAGGGACATGGTAGCATACTATTTCGCCACAAACCACCTTGAATTGAGCCTCTGGATGATCTATCTTTCTGTTGTCGCACGACCATGTCCAAAAGGTGTGGTAGTTGTTGTTATACCAGTAGAGAAAGCAGGCGCCAAAAACCGCCAGCGGTAGCCCAATTACAGCCACAATAAGTGATAAAATATCACTGAGTCGTGTTATATGTCGAATCTAAGTAAGTGAGTGGTCCCCAGTCAATGACACACCCTTTCATGACTACACATAGAGAACTAACCTTTGGGAAAATTCCAGCTACCAGAAGTCCACCGCTAAAGAAAGATGTGACACAACCTACAGCCAATAAAGTATCGCTCGGCCTCATATCTAAGTACTCAGGCCATATATCTTGCCCGGCATAAAGCAACCCACTATCTTTGGTTGAATAGTATTCCACATATGCGCTCGCAATCCCAGCCACTACCCCCACTGAAGCAAAAGTCGAAAACAATCGTATGAAAAAGCGACACCGAGAAACATACAACGAACGAGTCTCGTTCGTTGTTCGGCTTATTACTTGTAATGAAAGACTCTGCTGGGATGAAGGGACTATTGAATCGAAACTCGCAGTAGTTGGAAAATTTGGAAGTCTTTTTTCCAATGATAGAAAGTCACTTGAGTGAGTCGAGCCATTGTCTTTTGTGTCTGCTGGCAGATGAATACCTAGACCAGTATAGTAGCTGGGAACCGGTATATTTCCTCCGGTTGCGCTCAAGCTCCTCTCGAGCATCTGATAAGTGGTTGATTTCGTTTTCTGTGTGGTTTCTTTTTGATTGGTTTGAGCTAAATCTGAAGTTGTGATTGAGATATATTGGGACGCTTCGACTCAGTGTGCGTTGAGACTGCTGGGCGACTACTCAGATATAAGCATTTTATGTAATATTTAGAAATCTTGTAGGATCTATCATTTATGGTCGTCTGGAGTGCGTAGGTTCCACCGGGCTCTTCAAAACGGCGCTAAAAATTATTTCGAAACCACAAACCCCGAGTTTACCGGCCGCATTTGGCACAACTGGGCCACAATACTAAGCTGAGACGGCACTGTAACCTTATCAGGAAAACTTCTAAGCCAAAATTCCACCATCTCCGGAAGATCAGATAGCAACAAATGTTGGGTTGGAATAGTTGAATGTGATTTCGTAGCCGTTGACAACTATTCATATTTACAAAATACAAGACCAAAAAAACAGTAAGTCTTGCAAGTCCATTGGCGAATACCCAGTTTTGGTGGGAGCGTTACTCCCCGTTGATACATCCTGTAAACTCACCTCCCAGGATGGCACATGTGTGGCATCGCACACCTTGCACCCTCAACACCGATTCCTAAATCTCATCTTGTGTGGATAAACATAAGCATGTCAAGGGAGTCCCCGTCTCCTAATGAGGCTTGATTTAGGTTCCACAGGCACGCCTTATCCTCAGTCAATGCGCCCTGATATCCTTGGCTTGATCCCTGCGCATGCATAGGTACACATTTCTGTACCTACAAGGTTCGAGGAGTAGGTAAAGTTGGATGGCCAAAACATTACGCCAACGGGTTTGGATATTGAATGTGAAACGTTCGATACTGGCTCCCCTATAACTCTTAAGCTGAAATTTCTTCAAACATGTAAGTATCGTAGTACACATTCGCCACGGTTTCAATAGACTCGCCGTGCGCTCCACAGCTATCGTCGCCTGATACGGAAATCTAGGGGTATTGGGTAAGGGTTCGTGTAACCTGCATACAGTATGCAGGGTGGTTTTGACGTTGCCAGACAGTTTCCTGTCGATTTCATGGAGTCAAGCTTCAAGAAGACGGCACAATAGAGTCAGCATGGGGCTTATTGGTGATTTTCCCCTGACGAACCTTGGTACCGAACGTGCGCGCAGATCACTACTTTATGTTACACAGTGATCCCAAACTACACTTTCTGAATAGTACATGTTTGTATATGTACTTGTATCTGACTCCTACAGTCTGTCACTATACCAGGAGGCAACGCAGAGTCGGAAGTTACACGCATTTCCTAGAAAACGCTTTGGGTAGATGCGTAACCCGCGGTTATCGAGCATAGACTAAAGCAGGTGGCCGTGCTTATGGTGTACGTATAGTTAAATCCCTACAGACCAAATCAGAGCGAAAGGCAGCAATAAATATCGCCACGCGGGTACGTATACTATCCACATACAAGCCAGTATCCATAAAGCACTATACTCTACATATGTAAATTACGTAGTTTTCACCTCTGGTGACCAGGATGATGGCCTGGTGGAGACGCTGAAGGATCCAAGTTAATTAATGGATGGGATTTGCGATACACATGATATTTCAGCGTGCTCTCGATTCGTGATGCTAAATAGCATCGGGATATATACTTTATATTTGAGTTGATGGACTTAGCAACCTGATCCTCCAGTACTGTGGGTGGCCAATAATCTTCGACCTAGAAACCATATTAACACTTTTCTACCAAACGGCATGAGTTAGACGGCCTTATGATGATTCATACTTTAGAATAGAATATTCAAAAGACATTTATAAGGAGTCCTTCCCCGGATCCGCCACCTCTGGCAACTTGATTTTGTTAATTATAGTTGGTGTTCGTTATATTCAAAGGTAACACTTTAATGAACGTCATCATATCATCTATCGGCATGATCATTACAATCCCACAACTAGTCGCCACCGCCAACAGCTTTTAGTGCTATCGGTATCCGCTGCCATTTTTCCCTGGACGGTGAGAAGAGGGCTCATATTGGGCTTGAATTTTCTAGTTGTTGGTCTCAATTGGTCTATAGCTAGGAAAGCCCGGTTCAAGCCTGACAGACCGGTATGGTGGCCGACCCGCGTAGATGTTATTTTCAATCGCCTGCCCGTAACTGGCACAGCTTGGTTCTCCTCCAAAATCTGGAGGCTCTAGCTTTCGAGGTTGTAAGCTTGGACTGATACTTTGCTCATGATATCTGAGCTAGCCTAGTTAATAGCTCATGGTCATCATCACAGGTGTGGATTAAAGTAAAAATTGGGATTAGAGGGTTCCGTATAAGCTCGAGAGGCCATTGTGTCTAGTTAACACAGTAGTAGCCTTGCGCGGTTTGGGTTATAAAGGTGATGGTGATAAAGGTTAGAAGTTTTGAGAATAGAGCTCGAGGCTTTGAGTGATCAAAGATTGATGACAGACGACACGAGTATTGATGGTTTTTGCGGATAGAGAACTATAGGTAAGAAAGTAAAGAAAGAAAGAAGGGGAGATACAGGCGGAAACGACGCACAGTGTGGTAATCCACTAGCACTACAGGAGCCCCTTTCTATTTCCCCCACCACCACGTTTCGCTGCCAAACGTTCAGATACCAAGTAAAAGATACATGTGTTTATTATCCAAGGTTAAACCCGTGTAACTACATGTATGTACATGCACTATCTTTATGAAATACAAACGGACTTCGCCAATGTCGGTCTTTCACGGCGCGGGACAAAAACCCAGGTATTGTTTTTCTTTGTTTCTTCGTTTAATTTATAAATTAACCCCAAATCCCTCAAATCTTTCCTTTCTAATTCTCCTTCCTCTTGCTTTTTCTATCATATCCTATCTATTACATATAATTAACAAGTTACATAAGCAATAATCATAGAAGATATCTTAATCATAGAAGATATCTTAATCATAGAAGATATCTTAATCATAGAAGATATCTTAATCATAGAAGATATCTTAATCATAGAAGATATCTTAATCATAGAAGATATCTTAATCATAGAAGATATCTTAATCATAGAAGATATCTTAATCATAGAAGATATCTTAATCATAGAAGATATCTTAATCATATAATATCACTCGATCATGTCGATTTGCAAGATCCCCATGACGTCAGGCAACAAACAAGGATGTTTGGTTTTCAGTTAAGATACGGTGAGTGCGTACATGTATTCAGCCATCACGACTACTCAGTTACCTATACAAAATTCTGATCTGTACGTTGCATCTCTGAGTTTGGCGTTGCCGGCGCCACGAAGGACAAACCCTCATTACATGACTCCATAATATATAATTCAACGAGTAATGTGCAACGAACGAATTCCACAAACGATCAACTCCTTATATATGATATTTATTGTACAGTGTGTTGTACACTCAATCGTAGGACTACATGTATCAGTCAAACCAAAATCTAACGTGCCAGCCGTATGTACTTCCTACTACATCTTCAGATCATTAAAGACTGAATTCAGGGCACCGGGTGTCGGTATGAAGAAACATACCATTAATTTCTCAAGATTGCGATGGGTCCATAACGCTGTCGTGCGCTAGATTATCAATGAAATCCGCGGCCCCCTCCTTAACCATCCGTCCAATCTTCGTTCCGTCTCCAACGGTGCCGCTGGCTTTCATATCGTTCTTGGCAACACTCGGCTTCTGTGCGTGCCAAACGATATTAGATAATAATATTCTTCACTTATAGTACTTCCATGAATATAGTGAATTACAGTTTGGTCATGTGTGTCATGGAGCCCAGAATTGACGCTGTGTAGAGTTGATGAGTCAGGGTCTGAAGAGGTATTTGCGGGTGTCTTCGTGAGGCCTGATCCGCCTTTAACTGCGGTGGGTAAACGGTTCTGACTTGATGATGACATGGCTTCGTGCTGATAAAGAGCTTCCAGCTTGTTTGTGTGATAACCTTTTAGGCGAAAAAATTAGAGATATCGAGAAAGTCGAACACCTTTGATATCGGGGATATACTAACAGCAACTCGTTCTTTAATAAGGATTTATAGACATAGGGCTTGAATAATATTAGGGTTAGATTACGTCAATGTTCCGTAAATTTTGTGGGACGTGGCTGACGTCATTATATCTCCATCGATATTGGGAACCCTGGCCCTGGATGTCTTCAAAGCACAAAACGAGGTCTGATGTGTTAGTTGAACTATGTGTACCGATTCACGGCATTATAGAATGTGAAATAATCTCTCGAATGGGATATCAATAATTTATGGCCTAGAAGCACATCTATGGATATATGGGGTTGATATCTAAACTCTGCCACTGGTTCCTTCACCGACTATCACCCAGTACATACCTGCGTAAATAAGTATCTTCGTTATAACCGATTCTGTAATAATCATACTCAACTGTTCGTAGTCTTTTGCCAGACAGCCCTGGAAATTGACATGCTCAAGTAAACAATATTATCCTCTCAGTTGAAGTCTTCCGGATATGCAGTTGCATGCGCGCGTGTATATGTGGTTAGTGCATGATGTTTCCCGCCGCTGCCAGTTCTTAGGACAGCAATTGGCAGAGACTTGCTGTCGTGATAAGTAGAAGTATCCTTTATCTCAGCATGAATCCCATATTCGTGCCATCAAAGAACATCCTATTTATGCCCCTAAACCACCATGGATTCACTATCGTACATTTCCCTTCCCTTTTGTTAACATTGTTTATCTGAAAGTATGTACTCAACATATTCTCTCTGGTCTAGACGTTATATCCGAGAATCCTTTATGTCTTCAATTAATCATGTATCAAAGGCTTAGGCTTTGGCCGTTTATGAAAATAAGATCCTCGGCACTTGCCCATAAGCTTAAGGAATTCGGCAGACCTAAAAGTCGCTTATCGTATGGAAAGATGGGATCAGTGGACCACAACCTAATTCTTCTAAAAGGACGTCTCCGTGATAGCTTCTTCTTCTTCATAGAAGTTTCATAGAAGTGAGATAAATTCCGTAGGAAAATACACTATTAAACCGTGCAGCAATTGCGTAGGATAGCTAGAGCAAGGGACAGATGGGTAATTCTGTTGAATCGAGGGGTTTCCAAGGCATTAAAAGCACAAGGTAATTTTCTTTGCTTCTTAGCAGTTTCCGGCTCTCCAATCTTTAACACATTGCTGTTAAAAACGCGGGGAGTTTTTAATTCTTGATAGTCTCCGAAGCTTGGTACCTGGATTTGAATGTCTTCTTTTGGCCTATTGCATGTTGTCAAAGTGAGCTGGCAGTAAGCGCTTCTCAGCTGAGGTCCCATGATTGTAAAACGGGAGTTTTTAATTCCCATCTAAGCCTCTGAAGTTGGATTCTTCCAAAAATCGATTAATGTCGGAACTGAATAAAATCGGGCATCTAACTAAGCCGAGATGAAGCTGCGTATTTATCTGTTGTGGGGACCCTGCTCCGTGAGGATTAGTTCTCAATTATTTTTAACCCCCTGAGCATGTGGTAGATCTGAAGATCCTGCAATCCTCCCCCATTCCACAGCAAGCACGACACTGTGGCGATCTTATAGTTAAGAGACACACCTGCAACAGCTCAGGTGAGAAGTTTTATTTTCATAAACAGTCCTTAATTGAAACGCACGGCGTGTTGGATGTGATGAGGATGTATAATTCCGTAAAAACCTTGCATATCATTTCCGGAATCTCGGATGGCCGTTGTCGATAAGCAATCTCTGAATTGTTTATCGACACCCGGCGGCAGTATTCCCGAGTGTATGATATGCCGACGCGTTATCCAATATCAGAAGATTTTTTTAAACCGCCCCCAATACCTTTTACTTAGACATTACGCCCCTCGGGTTTCGAGACGGCTATTACTAGCTTAAATATCCTGCTTTTAACAGTCAGTCACCTTACGATAAACCGAACATGACGTTCGTACCTGCCTTGGTACATACATACGCCGGCCTTCACGAATATTAATATGCATACTGCATAACCATTTATCTTGTCTTTGGCATGCTTTATGTAAAAGTACAAATGCACATACATATGTACATACAAAAGGTCAGCAACGAAGTCCACGAGGCTTCATGAGGATTCGTATCGTATGGCACTATACTTTCCAGATATCGGTGATAGAATAATGTTTTCCTGTAAGTTCGTTTCCTCGTTTGTTTCCGTCGCTGTTCAAGGCTTCTACGATAACTACGTGGTCCCCCTTGTATCCATACTGTATGTATGTAGAATGTGTAGGTACTTTTGTGCAGCCACTCACCGGAAAAACTGCCGGCTCAAAAGAGATAGAATCTCATAGGTTCAGTGAAAACCGCATTTCAACACGCAAAAGGCAAAAAAAGTCACACCTTTCGTTATGTTATTTTCCCCCCTCTCGCTTCTTCCGGCATGCGCGCAGATCGATCCGCACCAGCACGTGCGTTAGGTTATTGGAGTAATCGGACCGGGGGGTTGGCACTCCTCTCTCCTCCGCGCTTCCATTCTTAAGCAAGTCTGTTATGTACTGCCGCAGCAAAGGATTCGTTATGGATTCCCTTCTGTCCCCCGGACTTTATTGCTTTAGGAAGGAGGCGCTTCTGTTTCCGGTGATCAGTTTAAAGGACTGATAATAATTATTATTCCGAGAGAGCTTACTAGTGAAGGCTGAAAGAAAGAGCCAGCCTATATGTAGAATCTTGAGAGGAGGAGTGAGGATCACAAGGTTATGATATCTTCGGAGACCACACGGGCTGTTAAGCTTTTTTATGTGCACCGTTTGATACCGTTTGATACATTTCGTTTCCTTCTTTGATGTCCGGCAAGCCAAGATGGGCGATCATTTTGTTCTCCATCGCCGATGGAAGTCTCTCCGGTTTCCGAGAGGGATGTATGTATTTACCGGGACCAATTCATACAGAGACCGCTGCATGCTCCAGCCTTTTCACGGCCCTGTTTCTGTTTTATTTTTACTCAGACATCGTGGCATCCCGGTGTAAACCCTCTTGCTTACGTGTGTACTCATGTAGTACATGTGTGTTTATCTGTAAGGAAGCGACATCTGAGCGGAATATATCCCAGGAGCCGCAAGGTACCTCCTATCAGGAACGAAATAGTTAACTCATGTTTCCCTAAGCCATAGGATTCGTGAAAGAGTGCGAGAGGGGGGTAAACAAGCATCTACATTGGGAGTACTAGGGTGGTGCCGGTAAGTTGTCAACTCGGATAGGTATATCGTTTAACTACGCAACCGATGAACGGCCGGGCCGAAAGACTTGCTTATACTCCGAATTATTCTCGTGCGAGCTACAATATAGATTTACATTTACATATGTATCTTGCTATTATCTACATGTATGTAATCCATGGTAAATCTTGTCCCAGCTCTTTGGTGACAGGGAGAATGATAAACCTACCTAAAGGAAATACGTACCGGTACCTAGGCTCAGAATCCAAATGTGGCTTTTTTTTTTCTTCTCCCATCTGTTTTTACTTTTTTTATTGTTTTAATTTTGAGGCGTGACCAAGTGTTAGAACGATCATAGTTCCTGAGAAACTACCTCCCGGCTTTTTTTCTTTTAGGCTTGGTAGAATTACGCCTGACCAGTAGGTATGTGTAGCAGAGGTCCGTACGATTTTCAAGAGCACACCCCCGAGCACATAATCATAGCGTTATTTAACGAAACAGATCACAAATTATTGGGATTTAAAGCTTGATCAGTCCATATCTAAGATTGAGTTGTAACTTTGGGGTTATCATGATGGCAAAGAAAAGACTATCGCCGTTTTTTGATCTCCCTTCTCTTACTAAATTTTTCTCCAGGTCAAGGTTTCACGGCTTCTGATAAATTCCTACAAATTTAGGAACATGTTGTCGATATGATACCGGTACTAGCTAGGGTAGGGGTACAGTAAGCATGTATTTTTGCTCTCGCAGACTTTTCTTCGCTCTCACGGTGGTTTCGGCTCGCTCAGAAAGTGGGGATGGGGACGACGCGACCAAAAGATGAAATTGGAGATCCTTTGGTAATCCGTTCGGTCAGCGCAAGTGTGGGGCTAAAGTTCTGTATTAGGCAAAATTTATAGTCAATAAATTTCACGGATGTTGAGCCTTATTGTTTGGGGAGGGTTGGAGATTTGGTTTACCGAAATAAGGAGAGGAAGCAGTTCTTTATTCTTTCAAAGCATTTTTCCTCTTGTGCATCTTGCAATAGCATTAATTCGCGATACTTCAGACCGCACAACAAAAAGAGCAAGTGAGGCAAGGGCAATCTACAGGCGAGAAGAGCAAGCAGTAGGTAACGGGTAATGCTGCTGTTGCTGTGCCTTTCAAGACTCTTGATTGGAGGTGATGTGATTGGGAAAATCGACGGGACGAGCTCCACACCCACGCAAGTTTAGTGTGTCTTTCCCAAGAGCAAGGCAGCAAGCAGCACGCAGCAGGTGTGTGTGTGTGAAAGAGCGTGAGAGGAACGAAGGAGTGGTGTGCAGCAGAACAGAACAACCTCCACCGATAGGGACGACATACAGGGCCTGTCTAACCCTCGTCTCTTCTAGGTGCAAGAGATAGAGATAGACAGTGAATTAAAGCGACAAGATACGAGTAGAAGGATCTAGGAGAACAACAGGATCCGTTTCTCGTTGTCTTCGGTTAGTCAGTACTCAATATTCTCTTGACATATCTTCGAAACCGCGAAGTTCCTTCATTTCCCCCATTTGTGTTCGCCCTTTGCCGTGGATATCTCATACCTACCTTGTACCTGCTACGCACGAACCTGCCGAATACCTCATCATACTTGCCCGTACCTTGGTCGCTTTACCTCCTCATCTTCTGTCTGCCCTTTAGACGCGACTTCCTGCTGTCTGCACTCGTCGTTATTCTTAACCCTACCTGAGTACTCGTTCTCAGCCATACTCTATACCGGGCACCTCGCAGTCTCGCGCTCACAATCTCACTCACCACTCTGATTCTGATTCTGAACAGTGTCGCCATCTTGTTAATTTAACTTACGTTACGACTGTCGCCTTTGATCAGTGTACTCAGTAATAGTCTATTTCTCCTTCTCCCATTCCTCTTCGTTGGGTTCTCAACAGGTGGAAATTTATCTCCTTCCTCTGTTTTCCCTGATCCCACCCACCCACAACCCCCTCCTCCTCCCTCAAGGACAACCAAGCTAGAAATGTCTACACCCTCTACCGCTTCGGCCCTTCCACCTCTCAATTTCAATAACACATACGACTACAATCACCACCGCCATCCTCACCAACACCAACATCCTCACCACATTCTCCCAGTCCGCCACGCACCTCTCCCCAGTCCACTACAATATCAACCTCCGGTGGCTCCGGCCTCCACAACAGCCACAGCGAACTCTGCGACTCCAACTTCTTCAGTTTCTGCTTCCTCAGACTGTTCATCAACCCTCTCGGCTATGGCTTCCAGATCCCAACCTGCCTCGAGGAAAAATCCTAAACGACCCGTCGATTGGGACGAATACTTCAAAAATGGTCCTCCTAAAGAGATTATAGTGATAGATGACTCCCCGCCTCCGCAACCCGCTCCATCTGGCGGGAGCAGACAGCAGCCCAGTACTGTGTCGCGTACAGCACACATGACTGGACACTATAACCTTCCAAATGGCTCTGGAGGACAGATCCTCCATACAGATAAAAAGCGAAAGACTACACAGTACGATACTGGTTACCCAGATCATCACTCGTACTCTTCCACCCAAACACCGCACGCTTACGGATCCCCAACGACGTTATCTACCCATTCGAGTACTGTTAGCATCAACGGGAATTCTTCAACAGCTGCAACATCATTGGGATCAACTGGGATCGGGACTGCTGGGCCTTCCTACGCCCCTCAAGCTGCTGCAGCAGCAACCGCCGGCCCAAAAAGGAAAAGGGTCACTAGAGCGAGTCATGCTGCAGCTGCAAACACCAATCTTGATGCTTTTGCTAGTTATCATCCTCCTCCAAAACCTCCGATAAAGGCTAAAGACGTCTATGTTATGCAAGTCCAAGATGTGAGTGTTATCTCGGTGGTTTTTTGCATTTATCTCCCTTTGGACAGCGCATTCAAGAGCCGTCCAAAGTCTTTTCACAGGAGGCGTTTCATCCATTTTTATATTTGATATTGCTTTTTTCGGGCCGCATTTTGTGGGGCTGTGCTGACGTAACCCGTGTAGAATGACCGTAACCTAGGTGTAAGGGTTGACGACGATGATGGCCATTATATCATAACACCTGACACCGATTTAACAACACGATGTATGTTCATATTGCATCCCATCTTAAAGCAACAATCAATTGACCATATCGTTCGCTTGCAGACCACATAACAAAACTTCTGGGACAAGGAACATTTGGCAAAGTCGTCGAGGCGTACGATCGTGTCAAGAGAACTAAGTGTGCCATCAAGGTCATTCGCTCAGTTCAAAAGTACCGTGATGCCTCACGCATCGAATTAAGGGTTTTATCTACCCTGGCCTGCAACGATAAGGATAATAAGAACAAGTGTATCCATCTACGGGATTGCTTTGACTACAGAAATCATATATGTAGGTCTATCTCGCCGGGCTGGTGGATTTTTTGGGTAAGGTAGAATACTTATGCTGGGTAGGTATTGTTACGGATCTACTTGGAATGAGTGTTTTCGATTTCCTAAAGGCCAATACTTTTGCGCCATTTCCAAACAGCCATATTCAGAGCTTTGCCCGCCAGCTATTGACAAGTGTTGCTTGTGAGTAACTATTATTTTTCTCTTGAGTTATTTTTGGCATGTTGTAGTTGACTAGTCCTAGTCCTCCACGATCTTAATTTGATCCACACCGATCTCAAGCCTGAGAATATACTCTTGGTACACAATTCGTTTATAAATTATGCTTACAACCGGCCAATCCCTTCTTCCTCAACAACTACACAACGTCAAGGCCGCTCTCGTAGAGTTCTTCTAGACACTGATATTCGACTCATTGATTTTGGGTCAGCAACCTTCGATGACGAATATCATTCAAGCGTTGTCTCTACTCGCCATTACCGTGCTCCGGAGATTATACTAGGGCTAGGATGGAGCTTCCCATGTGATTTGTGGAGTATAGGTTGCATATTGGTTGAATTTTATACTGGGGATGCTTTGTTCCAAACCCACGATAATCTTGAGCATTTGGCCATGATGCAAGCCGTCTGTGCCCAGAAGATTGACACGAGATTAGTGAGGTCTGTTTTGGGGAGAAATGGTAACAGTAATCATTCGTCCACCCTCATTGGAAAGTAAGTTGAATTTTTCTCTTAACCAGAGCTCTTCTTGAATCGTTAAAAGGTCCTGAATCGGGTGTTGTTTTTATCCAATAACAAAGTGAATCTTGGGATTTATTACAAGAAAAATCTGACTCAATATCTATAGGTACTTCAAGGGTGCACGGCTGGATTATCCAAATACCGAGACCACCAGGGCTAGTAAGAAATACGTAAATGCCATGAAAAGTTTACCAGTATGTTATCTTTCACTGATATTACCATTTATTTCTCTAATTACAGAATAGGATATAATTCCCCCCAACACTCGTTTCAACAAACAATTTCTCGATCTACTCAAAAGAATATTTGTGTATGATCCAAGCAAGCGCATCACAGCAAAAGAGGCATTGAAACACGATTGGTTCAAGGAACCTTGTTCGGACGAGGGTACTGAGGCAGCCAAACCTCGGGATGACAAGCTTGCCGAAAAGGCTGCAGCTCAGGCTCAGGCTCAGGCGCAAAGGGAACTAGATGGGTACTGATAGTGTTGTAATTTGGCCTTAAGGCATGGCCTTAGAGGATGATTTGTATAGCAATCTGGAGGAAATCCGCTGGCTTTGCCGGAGCCTCTTAATGGATGAATATCATCCTTGGACCTCATTTTCGACTCTCAGCTATTTTTCGTGGATAACGGCTCCCTTCGCAATGCCTATGGATTTCGTCACCATATAGCATAAGGGTTTTATCTTGGGGATTCTTTGTCACCTCTTCTTGGGATAGATTTTTTCGACTGAAGATTCTTCATTCTATTTTCTTTTTTTCATTCATATTCTTTTACATTCTTGTTCTCGGATTGTTCAAAGGTCTCGATTTGCATTCTGCGCAGAAATATTCTCGTAGAGGGAATAAATGGTACGGCGCGTTCACATTCGCTCGAAAAGGGAGAAAGCAATGTTTGACGGGCCAACGACGCACATACAACGAAACCTGGCATTGCGGCGGACATAGGGTAGTTTCGGTTAGCGGGGAAAACAGGCGTCTTAATTCTCTTCGGTCTCTCTTGGTGGTCAAGGTCGGTTGAATCTTTGGATATTTTTTGTATGATGGATGAAAGGGGAACGTGCATTTTTTTTCTTTTGTTTTTTCCTCGAGTACCTTTTTTCGCTATCACTTCATTTGGCCATTTGTTCTTGGGGCTTGTCTCATATTATTACAACCTTGAGATCACTCAAGAAAATCCTCAGAATGGATCTTGCTGCTGATAGTCGCGCAAGACTTGAATTTCGTCTGGGATGGGATGGAGTCAATTTTCCTTTTGATTCTTTCTAGTTTTACATAAATGGGGGGTTACGGAGTGAGTCGGTCGCTATCATGTGTTCGGGTTTTTTTTCCTATCACTTTCACGATCTGAAGTATAGTTGGATCTCAACTGGGTCTCTTTTGTCAGGTTTGAATTCATTGTATTGGGTGGGATATCTAAGATGGCAGCAGAGAATATTTCTCTACATAACACTTCACCAACGAGCATGCGTGCTTTTGCGTATGGTGCATTCTTCGGATCTACATCACACATACAGCCGCCATATCTTATACTCGCCATATCTTATACCTGGACGACCTATCTCACTAGATGGATCTCAATAGGTGACGGTTATTAAATGAATTCGTCCCGCTCACTTAAGATGCGTATGCGTGCAAGTACGGGGGATTTCGACAGTCGTTTGTTCCGATTCCCTGGAGAAAGGGGCGGGATTATTTCAGTGTATATTTGGGTCGGACTTAACCTTCTATTTTATAGACATTCATAGAGCCGAATTAGTATTACAAATCTCATCTAGGGATTCACTCTTGGCATATGCCGGCTCGTCATCATCCTAGTACATAAACTCAACATCTGGGGATACATACATAGTGCATCTGTGGGTACATAGTTGAGGGCTTGAGGTGTTGGAGAGATCTAGGTTAAAACGCCTACTCTTGAAGGGATACCTTACTCTCGTAATCTATCGGGTTATCTCTGAGAATACGTTGGACAGTATTTTCAGACACGTTCAGATGCGCATGAAGCGAATTCGGGATATTCTTGTATCTACTTACTACTACTACTATACCTAATAATTGATCGATCGCACATCAATTTCAAAACAAACTTTTTTTTTTACCTTTCCCATGAATGCATTTTTTCCCCCTTCAAAAAACAGCTCCTTGTATGAAAATCCACTTTGTAAAAAAAAACCGTTCCCATAAATCCGCTCTCTTGCGCAATATTCCGTCATCTTCTGTACCCCAGTTCCGCTCTACGTGGCCGATGAGGCGAGTCGTCGGGCGTCCAGATCGGCACGCGTCCCCCGTGCGAGGTGAAAAGAAAGAAAAAAAAGAAAAAAAGTAAAAAGTAAACAACTGTTATGGGGTGAGAGGATGAGCCACCTTTTTTCGACTCTCTTTGTTTCAGCGAGAACAAGCTGGTAATGGGACAATAATCGAATGTTGTGATACTTTAAATGCTGTCCATATATATCAACTCATACTTTCCTGTTTAGAATTCTGGGGAATTTCAAGGTTCCTGGATTCTCTTTTTTTTATTTTTTTCGCTCGTTGCGTGCTCCCCGGCGCGCGCCAAGGGATCAGATCAGCAATACTTTGTGGTCTCATGCTTGACAGCTGCATGCAGGGAGCCAGACCAGCAGTACTTTACTAAACCCCCCCCCCCCCCCCCCCCACTTCCCCGGCCTCGGACAAGGAAATAAGAGAAAATGGCCGAGTACAGAGGAGTGGGCGGGGGGGGCGGGACCTTTCTCTAGTGTGGGGAGGCAACTGTGGATTTAATACATCAATCATGGGGTTTCCTGTTTAATTGGAGGAGCTCACGCAGGTAAGGGAGTTGTAGTTTATGTAGCTATCACAAGGTCTGAAGTTTCTTCTTTTCCCCATTCCCCCACAATTGCAACGATCAACCAACCAGATTGCCAGATCAGCCCATGGCGCCCATCAGTCGGCCCTGGAGAAACAACAGTTTCCGGAGAGAAATCGCATCGTCACGACAGTTTACAAATTCGCACAGAACGACATGGTGTAGAAATATCTCGCGGAAGAGCGAGCCAGAGGCTTGCTCTGTCCAGTTCACACCGTCCAATTGATCCCCTTTCCCTCCCTTGCACTCACTATGTGGATCCTGTACGTACAGGGCGCGAAGGTTTTATTCCGTTGACGACTTGTGTTGTGCATGTTCCGTTCATCATCCCACCAAAACATGCACGATCGTCATAATAGGGTTGGCAAGGGGGAGGAAGCTTAAAAGAGCCCTCGTTGTATCAGAGATTTACCAAGACTAAGATAAACTCTACTGAACGAGCGCATTGTTTTCCGGGAATCTTTCTTTCCGCGGTACATTCGAAAGGGTTCATTTTGCGACAAGATCTCGTTTTTTTTTACACAGCATACCTACCCACCTAAATCGTGTCTATCTCTTACTTCTTCAGTTTGGACGTGTTGCAGTACCCACTCGTCAAGGCGCAATGGACGGGTAGCGAAAAGGGAAAAAGAAAATACCCGTAGAGTCTACCATGCCAGCTAGCCGTGTTGTTGAGTTCTTTTCTTCTCTCTCTTCCTGAACTACTTGCAGATGGTTCGTCCGGAACAAGAGACCGGATAAAACAACAAAAACACAAATCAAATCAACGATATGCATCACATAACCCTTCCCATCTTGCGGGGATGATGTTAATTTCCTACATTACCTAGCACTCATCCAGTCAGTCGGGATTCTCTTACGAATCCACTTTCATGGAATACTTCAAACTTCGGTTCTGAATTGGTCCTGAGTTGGTGGGACGGGATCGATGCTGCACTGCAAGAGCGGATGATCTGCGAGACCGGTGTCGAAATAGGGCATTTCGAATCATGATGTGTCACTCGGTATTTATCTGGGGACTTGGCGTACCCTTAAAGTGTGCGAGAAATGCATAATACGGATAGTTCCACAACCAAGCTTTAATCTCTCAGAAATCTCATGAGGCCAATCACAGTCACACAGTGGATGCGGCCGCATCAAAGATTGGCTTCAGAGTCGGACGAAAACAAGCAGATCCACCGTCCGACAATATCCACCGTCCGGGAATAATCGATTATAGCTGTTGGGGGTTCATCAATCACCTAGTTCCCCTGTGTATATATCTGTTCAAAGAGTTAAATTCTCCTATGGTACTTCATGCAAAGCTTCAGCTCTTTGAAGCTGACCTACTATTTGGTATGCATTCCGCCTGAGTATCGGTATTACATCGAGTCGAGTGATAACACATGACTGTATTTCACCGTTAAAGAAGTGTCTACCAGTCCTATCATCGAAAGTGGTTGTTGGATATTCAAACTGAGACGAGTCTATGAACTTTGTATATCAAATATGCAATGGAGCAGTTTACTGCCGTGAGTGTACACAAAAAGATCTCGTGCAGCAGCCCTTTCCCACTATGCAGTTTTTCTTTCTTCGCCGGTGGGAGATAGTCGAAATTCATGATCAACCACACATAAATGATCCAATGTTCAGCCTCAATGCCCTATAGGCACAATTGAGGCGGGATAACGCGACAACCATTTATACCAAGGCGGGTATATAAGTTGGCGCTTGCCTAACATATTAGTCAGAACCTGCCTAAGAGATATCGGCCCGGTATATAGATTAATATCTTCGCATATATATAGCGGGGGAATCATATAGAGGCTGCGCCTCCCCCTCCCCCGCTGGAACCGCGTACATCTCTGAATGGCCCGCGTATCCTCAATCCCGTTCCCAACAACTGACTAAGCCCTTGATCAACAAAGCCACAGCTCCGAACCCATGAATTCGCATACTACCTGGAGGGGGCTACGCCCCCCCAGAACCCCCAAAATATCATAACAGAATAGTTATCATTAAAGATTAAAACCTACGTACTTTCAGACAACTCCATGCAATCTAGCCTCCAACTCCAACTCGAACCTCTCTCATCATATCTGTCCCTGGCAGAAAATCATGCTCAAATACCGGCTGTCCAGCACCTCTCATATTCGCAAGCACAGACTGCCGAAAGTGCCATCGAAGCAGCTCATCAGACACCCGATGGGGATCTTCCGGATTGCGACACACGGGGTCGAGGCTTCTGCCATCCACACCGGAATTATCGACGTCAAACACCACAACCTTATAGCTGTCCTATTACAAATAATTAGCACATTGTTAAAATTTCAGACAATTAAACTCACATCAGGATTCACTGATATCAAGTATTGATCAAACGCACCGTGGATGTCCGCTCTAAACAGAAGCCCATTCTGCAACGAGTTGATCTTTGAGATGCCAACGCTGTCATCTATGTCTGTAATCCAACGACCGTAGTTGTACTGAATCCGTAGCCTTTCTTTCTCTTCATCGATACCTGTAATCCAACGACCGTGGTTGCACTGAGTCCATAGCCCTTCTTTCTCTAGCGGAAACACATGTGCTGCTTCAAACATAGTCCAATTATCACTCTTACTCCTCTTTACCATCCCTGAGATAACACATTTCCCATCGCGACTACGGATCCCATCGCGAAAGGCGCCCTCCCGACCTGACACATTATAAGAAATGATGCGTTGAATCCACGGTTCATTGTTGACCTGGATTTCACCTAGAAGCTCAGAAACATTCATACCAAAAGAGTGCTGCACTTACTTGCACACCGCACCATATAATCTCCGATCTGAAGAGGCTTATCAACTATCGAGACTGCATTTCCGGTTGCCTTCGCATACACATAGATAGGAGCTTCTGTAACCAGGACAATACCAAGCATTGAAAGAAATTTTTTCTCCGTGACTAAGCCATTTTGTACTAATCCACCCAAGACGGTATCTGGCTTGGTCTTATCGAAAAAGCGGACATTCCTGTCCTCAGAGCGATCAAAAGGCATTTTGCGGAATGATGAAAGAATAGACTAGATCATAGGGGGGAATGCCCCCATTATATACATGTGGCTCGTTCCATGCGTCCCAGCTTGCCTAAATAAGCAACTTGGGAACGTTCCCGGACTAACTACACTGGTTGCCAGCAGGCTGGCCAGGCCCCGAATGTTTCTGCTCTTCTTTGAGGTCTACCTTGCGACTACTTGGATTATAATTATGGATTATAGATAGTACATATATATATTAACCTTTTCCTCAATGATCATGGGGTACTCGGTATTGAGGTGCCTTCGGCACCCCTCCTCCTCCTACCCCCCAGGACCCCCTTCGCTCTCCTCTCTAAGTTGACCTAGCAAAAGGGACTGACTTCGAGATTTATAGGTGCCAAGGAATGACTGCCAGAGACTACGCTGGAAAATGCTCCCAGGCTGTGATGGATTTGGCTGAAGAATCATTGATTCCATAGTGAACTAAACTTAGATAGGTAACTTTGTACCATTTCACCAGTGACTCCCTCTGTCTCCGACATTCGGGGCATTTGGGCCGCCAAGGGCGATGTGTGGTTGTGCATGCATAACTGCATGTATGCATATGTAGGCCGGGTAACAAACTGGGACACATGGGATCACTCGGAGCAATGGTCCGGCGAGTAATTGAAATAAAGTATCGAAGGGGTAATGAGATTACCTTTTAAAGTTTTACGTCTCATGCTGTTCTCGTACCCTACGATCTTTAGCGCTATGAGATCAGTAGTCTAGTATTTATTCATATACTAATACCGCCAAGGCGTATACTTAGCTAGCTAGATATATATATAGGGAGCTCGAGGATCCGGCCTTTGAAGGTGAGATCTAGAAGGACTCACGGAATTATATTTCGGTTTAGTAGGGGAGGATTTTAAAGAGGATTATATGGCCAGCTGGGTAAATATTCCCCATAGCGCCCGGTCCTGAGAATGCACAGGAGGAATATGATTATATGAATCTTTCGAGGAAAACTCAAACATCACATAGGTGAGTTTTTTGACACTTCAAGAGACCACCGGGGCTCCACGTCATCAGTTGTTAATTCTGGCTGGATTTATAGAGTATCTATCCATCCAGGAATGATTGAATATTACGCAGGTAAATGTAACCTAGTATCATTTGGTGGGCAATTGCAAGAAGAACCATATATCCAGCTTATTACCTTCTTCGAAAGAAGAGTAAAGACATTCGGGTAGCTTTTGTTGTATTTGTTGTACAAATACTTTAGTCTCAATAAGGTGAGTGTTGGACGTAGCTCCTAAACAGTTGCGAGTGACTTGCGACTTCAAACGATGAAGTTCATGGTGCATTGAAAACGCACAAGATCGATAGAAATATTTGTTCCGCTCGAGGAACCGATCTCTTATTTCAAAGCGGAGAAGGTGATATTCCTGACCAACCAAATGGACGGCATATGTTTTCAGATGGAAACGGGGCGCGTCCCTGAATAGCGTATTCCTTTAAGGATTAGAATGAGCCAAGCGGGCACAAACTTTAAACTGAGCTGGTTTGAACTCAAGGACTGGTTCGTGTTAATCACCACCAAAGAGGTTGTTGTTACTAAGGACGTTGGCCTCGTAATTGTGCTCTAAGGCCAAATAAGGCCAAAGTCCGATATGGTTGAGCGACCTCAAGGCGATCTTCTTATCTCAGCCTCGGGCAGCCTTGGTGATTGGAGTCGCAGTTGGTGTGCCCAAGACATTTCAGCCGTAAATATTTGAGTAACCACCTAACCCGTACGTGAATCAGCCCTCGAAGAAGTGATCCTTCAATCTCAGGTAGTGAAGTCTTGGCCTCAAGGTAGCGATAAATCTGGTTGGATAGAGAGATACAAGGCCAAGGCATTGCCATATGGGAATAGAACAAATCACTGGGGGGATGTCAGCCTTACATGACACGGTGTTTGGGGGCCAGTGGGATGAACGGAACAATATATGTGTGAGACACGACATTCAAGACGGCTTTAAAGATCTCGGTAAGTGGGCGGACTTAGTCCTTCTCCTAGAGATGCATTTCCGTCCATCTTTGTTTTCCTTATCGTATTACATAGAATGTGTTCCTGATACCTATCGGAATATTAGTATTTGGAAGGTTCGTTGTAAGAGTGGAAAGGCGGTAAGGGTGCAGGTAATCAGCAATAGCGAAAGAAAAAGGACACAGCGGGGTTGGTGGAGGCAGTGGGAGAAATTCCAAATCGTGGTACCTTTATCTCTTTTCGCCTATTTCGCACCTCATTCATGACTATAGCACTCACTCTAAGACCTTTTGGACTAAAACCAACTTCGTCCGGATGTGGGCAACGCTAACTTTAAATTATTCAAACCTTACAGTAGGGCGGTCATTGTTGTTTTATCTGGTTCCAGCCAGGCACGGAGATCCTCTACCACTTTCTAACACAGAAGCTTGAATCTGCTGCTTGGTAACTATAGCCCTTTATCATTCTTCTGTCTATTTTTCGAATCAGGAATCGTGTGCAATGACGCAACGTGTCCGGATATCGGAAGGAGTAATTTTAGGCGATAACATCAACCTGGTAGACAATATAACTGGGATAGAGGGAGAAGCTTTTGATATGGGACAGGGTCGTGGCTAGCTGGGGAGCTGGCCATGGGGTAAGTGAGGACGGCAGGTGGTTTGTGAGAGAGATGGATACGATTAAGCGCTCAAATACCATGTTTAGCACCTCCACACGCACCGTATCACACAAAAGTATGCCGAATTTTCTAGGTCAGCGCATCCCGCTAGCTTTCAGAATGCATAGCGAAGCCCCTTTGGGAAATGATGGAGCGGGAGATCGAGCCTTCGATCTGCTAGGGGACGATAAGGTATCTTCAAGATTTCAAACGATTTGCTACTAATGCAGGGTCCCCGTCCTTCGTAGCCCTAGATTGCGCAGAAACACCAGGGGCTACCAATATCTAGAAATGACTTTTGTTTCTTGTACGTATGACCTGTTCATGATCTTACACAATAAGTACTTGTGCTTATATCCTTAATAAAAGTTCATTTTGCAGACGCTTCGATCTCCTTGCTGTCTGTATCCACTAGTAGTGATACACCCTGTACACCTTGTACTCCCCACGAGTGAGATTCTATGATCCCCAAGATCAGAACTCCGGCTACTAGCATCTACCCCCACACACCCTTCCCGCCAATCCCCACGTTCCCCGGTACCCTTTTTGCTGTCACGGACTGATGCAGTTTAGTTCCCGGAAGAACCCCACCGGGGAGAAAAAAAAAAGCTTATGTAACCGGTACCTTCTCGGATAAATTTCGGCCGGGCGGAAATGACGTCAGCAGGTGGTGAGAAGCCGCGGAACAATTTGTATGAGAGCACCGAGAGCACCAGGGACAGCTCCGCCAAATGCATGGCCGAAGGAAGCTTGTTAGCAGAGAACAATTGGCTTCTTCGATGGAGGAACGGAAGCTGTCACAGTAACAGAACCATACAAAGCCTTCCATAGGGCTTGCATATGCCGCGCCGGATCAAGCACAATTCTTTAACAGCAGGTTATTACAGGCACATGTGTATCCGCTATGTACTCAAGCGCTGTTACTTTCATCAAATTCCCCTCCACAGAGGGGAAGAAAAAAGAAAACATCACCCCCATGGAGAAATTCAAAGCCGGACCGGCCTTCTGTAAGGCCATTGCGGGGCCGAGACCGTAAGTACATAAACCCCCCCAACGGCCCTGATCTTGATTCTTCTTCCCCCAGATCATATATCTCATTCCCTCTCCACTCAATCACTTTTCTTCTTACGTATTGCCAGCCGGCTGGTTGTTGGTCTGTATAAAAAATGTCAGGATCTATGATTGCTTCTGCTGCGCTCAAAGCGCGAGTCCGCCGTCCTGCGTTGCTGAAGAAGCTCGCAAAGCCGGAGGATCTCATTCATCATTTCCCCAATGGCGCGTACATTGGATGGTCCGGATTCACCGGTGTCGGTGCTCCCAAGATTGGTATGTGCCATTGACCCCATAGTAAAGGTATCGAGAATTAATGAGTGATGTAATAATAGTACCTATGGCATTGGCCGACCACATTGAGAACAACAAGCTCCAAGGGCAGATGAGATACTCTCTCTTTGTCGGTGCTTCCTCTGGTGCGGATGTTGAGAACAGATGGGCCAAGCTCGACATGATTGAGCGAAGATCACCCCATCAAGTTGGAAAGGAAATTGCAAAGGGTATCAACAATGGCAGGATCAAGTTCTTTGACAAGCATCTTTCCATGTTTCCCGTCGACCTTATTTACGTGAGTAACCTTTGAAAAATAAATTGCATTGGTATGTATTTCTGATAGATTTAGGGATACTACACTATGGACCGCCCTAAGAACCGCCTTGACGTAGCTGTTATTGAGGCTAGTGCCATCACCGAAGAGGGTGGTATCATCTGTGGTGCTTCCGTCGGAGCATCTCCTGAAATCATCCAAATGGCCGACAAGATCATTGTCGAAGTCAACACATTGTTGCCCTCATTCGAAGGACTCCACGATATCACCATGACCGATCTTCCCCCCAACAGGAAGCCATACTTGATTATGGCCCCTGAGGACAGAATTGGAACCCCTCATATTCCGGTTGACCCCGACAGGATTGTGGCTATTGTTGAGAGCAGACAGCCTGATGTTACTAATGATAATGCACCTGAGGATGCTACTAGTCAGGCTGTTGCGGACAACTTGATTGAGTTCCTCCAGCACGAAGTCAAGATGGTATTCCATACTCTTCCCCTTAATCATTGTATAAATTTCTAATATATATGCAATCTAGGGCCGTCTTCCCCCTAGTCTCCTTCCTCTCCAATCCGGAATCGGTAACATCGCCAACGCCGTCATTGGTGGTCTTGCCAAGGGCAAGGCCAGCTTCTCCAACCTTACCGTCTGGACCGAAGTCCTCCAGGACTCCTTCCTCGACCTCTTCGACTCTGGCCACCTTAACTTTGCCACTGCAACCTCCGTCCGTTTCTCCCCCGATGGTT